AGATGTATTCGATGAAATCACGGCGGCGCAAACGTTAGAACACCAGTTCACCGAGGACGTGTGAGTGCATGAAGGTTTACGATGTCATGCGCTAAAGGGGTGGCTGGTCAAAGTGGAAAAATCCACCTCGGTGCTGACACTACGCTGCCACACCGGCGGCTCGGATGGTTCATTCCACTTGTCCCCGGTGGCGGATGTGTCGACGCAACTAGACCCGTGATAAAGAGGAGGTACAGCGCATTCAAAACGGTGAGAAGCACGAGCAAGGTGGCGGCGAACACGTACAATTTCCCAAAGTGTTGATCGCCGAAGCGAGCACAAATGGCAGTTGAGCTTGGGAAGATAGCTTGGTAGTGGTGGCAGCAGAACGACCACGTTCATGGTTGCTGCGTCTGGGAGAGTCCCGGAGACGCTGGCCACTGCGGTGCCGATGCAGCGGTGTCTATGCGTCTGTCAGTTCTTCGAAGACTCAGCGCGACTCACGGAGGGTACACCGCCTTCTGTCGAACTTTTGGGCAGGCAGCGCGACCTTCTTGCAGGCTTCCGAGACGATTACACTAGCGGAAGTTGTTGATACCACAAAATGGAATCGTGGCGCATGCGCATGGCCTTCTTCCTCTTCTTCTGCCTCAGAACACGAGTGCCCCTGCTACTTCTTATTTTGATCACCTTGACTTGTGGCACACACCCACTATCGGGACATTTCTCATGGTCTTCTTTTTTGTTTTTGTTTTCTGCTACAATGCCTCGCTGCCACAAGTCTTTTGCAACATCACTGATGTCACTCACTTGCTGAGAGCAATCTAACAGTTGCTTATAATGGTCATTCTTCTCAATTCATTTGAAAGGTGTTGCTCCTTCTTTAATAGTTATTTAATTCATACGAATAATACGCATTAAAGAGCTGTCACCTTAATTGATGACAGAGGTATATTAGAGTAAAAACTGAAGAATAAGGGTAAACAACTTACGGTACACGCAGTATGCCACTGTAATACCCCTGTCACACGGCCACCACTAAACTCCGTTGAACACCGTCAACGTAAATCTCCCCTAGGTGGTTCGACGGAGAAGGAGTTGTGGCAGTGTCACACGCGTCAATGAATAGGTTGTAACAGTTGGCGCGAGGGGGCTGAGCTGGCGCTGTTTGATTTTTGGAAAAGTATTCTAATTTCATCTCTATTGATTTTTTTGTGAATCCTCGTTATTGGGTTTTTACAAAAAACACAATTAAGCAGGTAAGAGGCTAACAAACCATAAAAATATTTTCAAATAAAAACGAATTTGCTAATTGTAGCGATGCTGCTAGCGACGCTGGCCACATTGTGCTTTTAGTTGTTTTGTTGCCTGTTTTCATGCCCGTGTGCGAAAATTCTTGTGCTTCCTTGGCACGCGAGCGCACATTTTGTGTTCTTCAGCCATGAGTGACACAGCGACGACCACAACCACACGCATGGACGAAATATTTTTCAATGGCACCGGCCGGCCCGACTCGCGAGGCACCACGTGCGAGGCGCGGAGTGTAGAGCATCGGTGTTGAGAGTAAGTGAACTCTGGCGGGCGTAAATATATGTAAACAAACACGCGTTGTGAATGAGTAGTACAACGAAAGAACGTTTAAGATTGCCAAAATGTATTATTCTTTCACTGCGGCCACTTAGTGCTCGAAATTTTTCTCTGACCTCTAGACTGCTGGGGACAAGAGTACCTCGTTTTGCTGCGAAGGGAGATCGTTGAACGTCCTTTGCGAAACGTTCCGTTTACCTTTGTATGCGTAAGGGTTGCCGTGTGACACGGACCGCATCTTCGTTGTCGTAAGAACGAGGGAGTTAAACGGTCTTCGCGGGTGCCCGTGTGACAGGGGTATAAGAGCTTAAAGCACACAGTGTACCCTGCTTCATGTACCCTGTTTGAGAAGGCATTCTGTAATTGCCTTCTATGCGTGCACTTCTACTGTTTTATTACCATTTTTGTCTAGTTACTTCAGTTCCTAATATTAAATTGTGTGTTAGTTTGCATTCATTGCTTTGCCGTTGTCGTTGTTTCCTGAACGAATGTATAACAGCCAATTGTCAAGATTTTACTTTTTGCCGTTACTCTCCCTCCGTTATTTCTCAAATTTATAGTAATTTGTCTCCCTATGTATTACCCTCGTCATGGGTATTTTGGAGTATTTTGAAATTAGCAAGTTTTTAATAAAAATAAATAAATAAATAATGTAGAGGTTGTAGAATATTAGGTTTTCTTGGAATCCGGAACTTCGAAGGCAAAGGTTGCTGTGTCACTTGGCGCACGAGCCACCTTCACAAAAAAAAAAAAAAACTGCTGCGCCGCACACAACTTACGTCATGCACTTTTCCGGTTAGGCGCTTCGTTTGAATAGTTCAAAGGGGACATGACTTCGCCGAGTCGGCATGCCACGATTCCAGAAAACACTTGCGAAGAGGCGTGGACGCAACTTTCAGCGTGCCTCCTCATCGGTCTCCCGTCAGCCTGACTTCCTGCTTGTGGTACTATCCACTGGCCCTCTGATATTGCATGTTTGATGACCTTCAAAGAATTGGCTTTAATTATCACGATACAGTGCTTTCCGAACTAATGTTCTTAATCGGCAAGACGCGGGAAGATACGAAAAACCGAAATGCACCATGGCTGCATCGGTTTCTCCAGCACATGCGTCAGGAACGTTGATTTCCACGGTTCATCAATGTTTTGATGACAGTAAGGCGCACTGTAACGTATGCCCACGCTAAATATGCAACAGCAAACTTTTCTATGACGCTCAGCGTACCGTCATCACCTGACGAGGTAACTGGCAGGGCGCTTCAAAATACTGACGTGCCACCGTAGGCGATCAGCACTTGATAAACGATGCCCAAGGGCATGTGCCACCTATGTTAGCCCTTTTTACTACAAAACAGCTTGTTTGCCTTGCTGAATAACACGCACGGCCTGCAACAGCACTGGAGCATTTAAGTAGCAACAGAGGAGAACAGCCGCACGTGTTCACGCTTAGCAAAAGAGCCTGCAATTCAGTAGCTTTGCGATCACAGGCTTCGTAAGAACACTTCGCAGACACACTGGGGTTTTCATGCATGTGCGTTCGGACATTCACACGTGAACTGCGCAAAAAACATTATTTCATCGTCGGCCTTACCCTTCGCAACTAGCAAAATGATGTATTCGGCAGCAAGAACACTTCAGTAAGTTTCTTTGTAGCACACCTAAAGAACAGTAAAAAAATGAAGGGATTTATACATAGACATAGCACTAATAATTTTAAAAATATTTTGTCATTTACGTGCGCTACAAATAATCTTACTGAAGATGAGCTACTAACGAGTCCGCATCGCATCTCTCGTGAGTAAGAACACTTCCACCTTCGACAACACCACGTTTTGACAGTGCAATCTAGAAAATCCAGTACGTCCGACAGCAATAATCCGCACTTCATACTGAGAAACTGCATGACGCACACACCCAGATGAATTCGTGGCGCGGTGGACGGCCGCGCTGAGCAGCTACCACCTTCAGTATCAACTGTGGGCGATCCAGAAAGCCCAGCGAAAAAGCTCAGGAGCGAGAGCCCCCCTTTTTAATGTTTTCTTTGTGTTTCTTTCGATTTTCATAATGTTGTTTTGTATTGAAATACCGTGTTGTGTATATTTATGCTGGCACTGTTCATTAGGAGCATAGTTGGTTTTGCACTTGTTCCATTTTATTAGCACGTATTTTTTTATGGTTTAGTTGCTTTCCGTTAATATCTGCCTTCGGCCTTGTTTTAATTAAATGCTTGTTTGTTTTACCGACAATTTTCATGTCTGCTCTATGAGTCGTCAGTCAGAGCCAAACATCTCTACACTGCAACCTCGCACGGGTCAACCGGCCTGCAAAAAAAATGAAATGTACCATTTGAAAGCCTTTCAGGCGTTGCCGGCCGAAGCGTAAAAATTGAAAGCCTGCGAGTCTGCCGCACGCCGCTGTTGGATCGGCGGGGCCCCACCCGAATTGTGTGTCAACGAAACAGATCCACAAATAATTTTCAGTTTAGTGCGCTGCGCAGACTACCCGTAAAAATGAAAAGGTTAAGCTAGCCATGATAGCTTAATTTTGCATTCTAATTCACTAGTCTGCTTAGCTTTAGGCACACAAAACTGATCTAGATGGCGCCATTTTCAGCGGTGTGCCTCATGGACGCATCGTGACACCACAGTGTGGCACGTAAAGAACTCATAAACCGAAGGAACTCGGGACATGCGCCAATGGTTGTGGCTGCGCGCCGTCGCTGATGCAAAGGCAGCCACTGTAACTCCAGAGCGAGTTTGCTTGTTCATGATCTTGAGCAAGCTTGGTTTTTTTTGTTTTCCACCGCTAAATAGACGAGGGCGAAAGGCCGAGAAACAGAGACACCGGCGAGCGCCAGCTTCCAACTCTAGCGATACGGTCATCACTGCGTAGCTAAGGAGTGGGGAGGGGTGTTCAAACCTTCCAAAACTTTTCAAATTTGCATGCGTACACACACACGCACGCATACAAAATCACGCACGAAGATATACAAATATTTAGTTGCGCGGAATCCAGCAAGTGCGGAAGGGTAGGAAAGAGGAAAGAACAAGCACGCGTTCGTAGCCCGGATCCACATGGAAATTAATACGAGTTTCACTGAACAAAACCTTCTTTGTTTCCGAAAAATTCATCCTGGTCCAGGGTTCAAACCCGGGACCAACACATTTTCTGTTCATCTTCCCGCCTTTGCCCTTCTGTTCTTCTCGCGCAGTCTAGCGCGTGAAATTGGTATTGTCTAAAATCCAGGCTGACTTTAACAGCATTCTCTGCGTGAAATAAATAAGAAAAATAACGGGAGCAGGAAAGCAGAAAACTTCGTAGCGTTGTCCTTTCGTTGGCAGTTATACAACGTCAATGCCCTCCATTGCTCTTTTTTTTATTTCACCATCTCAGACGTTCCGTCATTATACATGCATTCTCAACAGACACCCCTGGCCCGTCCAGGGCAAGACGTGGCAAAGACACACTCAGTGGCCTTTACCACAAAAACCTTTCATCCACGAGTGCCTTCTTCACCAGGTTCCGCCGGCTCAGATACCGCCGCAGGCCTTCCAGCATCTGTAGTAAACCGGCCGATGTTATTAGAAAAATATTCTTTGAAGCTGTAAGCGAGTCAATTCATTTTCCTAACCAAACCAGGTTACTCCTAAAGCTGTACCACTGCTCATTGTCGTACGCAGAAGGTATTAACCATGTAAATATTGGACACGAAATGGGAATCTGTCTCGCTTGTGTTCCGTTTGTTCAAGACTCGGCAAATGTTGCTACATGCCAAGAAGATTATGTAACACCGATCACACCTGAAATCATGCCGGACGCACATCTTTAAAAAAGGAAGCAAACGTGACATCTCACCGGCATTAAGGAGATATGCACACACGCACAGTGCTGGACACATATTGGTCACTCCACCAGCCTAGACGTTAACGACTGGAACGCCCTTCCTCAGTATGAATGTTCATGTTTTTTTTTCCTTTGTAATTGTTTTTATCTCTGTCTGTCCTCTTTACACGCCGTATTTCGCCGCATCTGTACGGGTCAGCAAACCGCTTACTAGTACCAGGTTCAACCTCCCCCTTTTCTTTAATTTTTTAGGGGCGAAGCTCCTTACGCCGTGGGTCGTACGTCCCGTGTTTGTAGTAGTATATCTATCTCTCGTTTAGTCCTTAGAATGTCCGCTGGATGGCGGTACTTGTACATGCTGAATATATGATGAAACGATGAGAGATGTCAGTATTTGGAGTGTTCACTAGATGGACAGACGGGCAGACGGACGGACGCGCGGAAGAACATAAGCAAGAACAAACGGATGGACGGAAGCACGGACTGACGGACACTTCGCCCAACTCACCATCGTTCCCTCCGAGGATATTTTGTGATTTTTTTTCTCTCTCTCTCTCTCTTAGGGAGTAGAAACACTGAGAGCAGGTAGTCATAAATGCGTCTGCAAGTACATATTATTAAAAGGCGTACGCATGTGAACAGAGCCTATTACGAAGGGATAGACCAGAAGGCAAGAAAATATTTAGCGGTGGGAAGACAAGACCCTCACAGGGACTTCAACGACCTCAGCATCGAAGTTTTCAGATGCCATAATGCTCTCGCACAGTCACACGCACTGAAAAAAAAAAGAAAAGCTGGCGCTTGTCGACGAACGCACCTGTTCAAGTCGAGTAAAGAATGGGTGACAATATATCCCTTGAAACAGGAGTAAGATGACATGTTATCGTGGCGATGCTTCTGGATCACTAGCTCTTTCATTCCATAATTTCACAGGAAACAGCACTGGCATCCAGCATACATACAAGGATGGTACTATATATTATAGCTAAATGCCAGGTGAATGTTCAAGTCTTGTGTTCAGTCATGTGATAACGTAATTTCGATTACCTTCCAGCAATTATAGATGAGCATGCACTTCACGTGATTCTCCACGCAAATTAAAAAAATTCAAGGCTTTATCCTGTCCTGAGGAAAGTATAGTTATATGAATCTGTTTTAAGCCATCGTAAAGAGCAGCTACGTGAGTTTCCAGCACTGTGCGAGCAAGCACGCGAGGTGGTTGCTGTGATACTAGAGGAATCCAGCAGCATTTTCTAACCATGGGAGGGGGTGGGGGGACATTGTCGTAATCTCAGTTATCATCATGCAGTACATTCTTATTGTGGTCTATGAAGTAACGTCAGAGTTTGGGCCTATTGATTGCCCATCATTGGAGAGAAACAGTACGACTGCTTATGACCGGGACAAAACCCGAAAACGATTCGGATTAACACTATCTATAGTGGCGCACGGGTTGGCTAGTGCGGGCGAGAAATTCAGCACGTTACATACTAACTTTTGCTACAACGCACTATTCATTCTGATTTTGCCGAATTAAAACAGTAGAGCTCTTCGCAAGCAACTATATTATAACATTATACAGATTACGGCAAATGTGCAAATGACTTAGCCAGGAAATCATGTTCAAGTGTCGTACCACAGCTTAGATGAGCACCAACAATGCATACGGCTCGCTTCCTGTTACAATTCACTTGGTATGAAGTGTCAAACCACCCATGCGCCTACATTTAGGTGCACGTTGAGGAACCCCAGGCAGTCGAAATTTTTACAGAGTCCTTCATTACAGCGTACTTGATAATAATACCATAATTTTGACACGTGGAGCCCTAGAATCATCTCTTTCAATGATGTCATTATCACAAATAGCATCCTTGTGTTCATACTAGTCCTTTCAATGCTTACCTTGTCCACAATATACGTGAGCGTTGCGGCCAAAACAAAATCACTTGAAGCAAAATCCACAACGCAGAACATTAGCAGATCCCATAAAACAAGCGTGAACTCGTGGCCATGGTAGATCACGGCGTCAAAAGAATGGCCATTATCTGCAAAACAAAATGCAATTGTGAAACTGTTTTCAACAATTCTGAGAAGAAAGCAGTGAGCATGCTTAGGACTAAAAAAATTGCGATCATAGAAACGGAAACATGAACGAGAAGGAAAAGTCAGCAGATAAAAAAAAAACGTTGCTTTCTCAGTATCCATCCATATATGGGGAAGAGACTTTCTCAGTATCCATCCATATATGGTGGAGAGACTGGGGACCAAGAAAACATGCCCATGAGCCTCTAACATATATATCGGAGACTCATGCATGATGCCAAACCAATTATAAAGCAAGCAGTCATCTCACCGATCAAAAGTCTTATCGTGGCACGACTCGCGAATGCAAGGCTTGGTTACAATCGCCTCAAAGAAAATAACTGGTGCACACTTGAGAGCAAAACGCAAGAATTCCTGAGTATACCAGCCGTATGAGAAACGCTGCCCTGTTCTGAGGCAATGATGAGGTGCGGATTCGTTCGTCCGTAGTCTTTACTGAACAGTGATAAAATGTAGTGCCGGAGCAAACATGATCAGAAGTGGACACAGGCACGCAACAAGTGGGCATGAACGCAAGCGTCTGTCATCTATTCTCATGTCCATGTCCTGGTGTTTCGCTGCATTTCGTCCCCATGCTGTCCGTCCGGGGATTGCACCAGAGACCAATGCCATTTGGTACAACGTCTCTACCGTGTTATAGCTCATCCGGAGGCTAAGGATTTGACAAAGAGACCTAATTACTTGATAACTCAAAGCGCAACGGTACTGACTAGTATAATAGTTCAGTTCTTCGAAAACCTGTGCGATGAAAAAAAACTTTATGAACAAAAAAACGGTGTCAACCGATTGCGAATAGCGCGAAGCTACGACGGCATGTCACTCAGACATTTAACTCTCTCCTCTCCTCCCGAAAAAAAAACACAGCTAGAAAACAATAAAAAAAACAGGCAGTGAACATAAAGCAGACAACAAGTTTTCTGTTCATAACCATGGCATTCAAGTGACTGACTATGACAAACAACTTCATGCAGAATTTCTTTGACATAGTCAATATCCCTGAGCCTTGTCAACAAATTCGACCTCCTTCTGTGATCAGCTAGTGGCCGCCTTATAAGCTCAGATGGAAGTATGGCCGCAATAGTAGTGTGATGGTGCCACGTTTGGTGCCCGCTCAAAAACCGGGCTCTAAGAAATGGGGCTGTTTGGGCAATGCTCAGAGTTTTAAGCAAATACAGGGCAATAAACGATGAAAAATCGGTCTTTGTTGGTTAATGATTCTGCATCTCCATAGGCTTTCTCCTCCTGGCAGATCACCGCGAGCCTGATTTATCATGCCTATCACACGGACACGATTGCTTTTGTAATGTTCGTGTAGAATGTTTCTGACTTCCTGGCAAGTGATCGACGCGGGTGTCTTTGTGGGAAGGCAGTGCACTAACACAGCTATGTTTTTCCGGTGGTGTATGACCGCCACTATTTCAACAATTTTTCCCGACATGCGATCGCTGATGCAAGCTGTTGCCAACAGGGCCACTTCCACCAGTGCCAAAGAACAGGAGAGCATGCGCAAAACGGAAACAAATAAGGCTATACACGAGACAGTGATAGAGCCAAGGATAGACTATCGGTCGTTCTATCACTGTCCCGTGTTTACGCTGTTTCTTCCCGTCTTTAAGATGTGCCAAATAGACCAGTTAAGTGCACTCAAGCATACGTAGGTTAATTTCACCCACCAGGCCATTCTAAATGTGAGGTCCAGGGGGTGTGATAGGCCTTTGGCCACTTATTACGACTTGGAGGCCTTCGCAATGTTATTAGCACTACCAGCACATATGAATGATAAGGGCACTATCTGTGGTTTTATTTTATTCATTCTTGTTAAACAGAAACGTCTGTTATCCTTCAACACCTTAACTGACACATTTAGACGACGTGTCTCAAGATACATTTTTTTAGGGCAAAAAACAAAAAACACAGGGCTGTTGCACATACCGACAAAGGATAAGCGCTATACTGCCATACGCATTCAGACACTCCGCCTGTGCACACAAAACAAGCTCTGTTAAGTGCTGTTCTGTCTCTATGTGTAGGTGTCCTCCGTTTTTTTTTTTTTTTCACTGTCAAAATGCGCGGTGGTTCAACTGAGCAACTAAAGCACGTACTTATGCAAAGATCTTGGCACGAAAACTACAAAGACAAAGAACACTGTAGACAAGACTCGCACCTAGACGTTCGCACCAGTATGTGGGGCCAACTAGCTCAAACCACAGCTTATACAGCATGTATTTTACCGCTATCTCGCACAGATTTACTTTTGGTCTGATGTATCGGCAGACCACTTACCATTGTAAAAGAAGCCACGGTCGACAATATCATTGAACTCAATATCAAGAAGTTTTTCAAGCAGGGTCCGGTCTTTCACCGTATAGTCAACATCTTTTAACGACTGAAACGAATACAAAAGTTAGTCACATCGAAAGCATGTGTAATCAAAAAGCTAGCCAGAAAATTGTGCGACGTATGCTACATATTCGGTGTTCAGATTAAAAGGTACGAAACGTAAAAACTTAATCGTTAATAGATGTTTTTGCCACAATGGGAGAATGTATTGCGTATTTACTCGCAGAATTCGTGCACTTTTTTCCGCGTTTTTAGGGCCTCGAAAAGGTGGTGCGCAAATTACACGAGTATTTTGAGAGCGCATAAAGAATATTGCATCACAGTCCTAACGCGCGCGGTATATACATATACAAAAAAGAAGAAATAAATTGGAGCACAATCGAAGTGTACTTGTCAATTTTGGTAAAATTATAGCGCGTACTTTAACCAGTCAGATCCGATCACGCGCAGTCTAGCGGGAATCACTGATGGCGAAATCCGATCGGGAATCATCGTCGCGGCCGCTGCTCCCGAAGCGCATGGTCCTCGGTTCCGTCGAGCGCGTTCGAACTCCCCATTTTCTTTTTCGACGATGCTGGGAAAAACTAGGCTCCACGACACGGCGATACCGGAAGAACTAAGCATCCGCACATAATTGAAAAGGCATCCATCAATGGCAGAAAACTCGCATTAGCAAGTGCGCACTCTTCTCTCTCGCTTGCGCCGGTCGTCACGTCCCCTTGAAGTGCTTTGCGGCGGCACGCTTCTCGTTTTCTTTGGCAAAATTTACAACTGTGAGCTTCGGTTCCGCTGTATAAATAATTACTGTAGATTTCGCAAGGGAATCGTGAAAACGCGTCGGCCGTATGGTGAAACCTAAACTTCCGAAATGTTGCAGCGCGGATGCAGAGAACAAAGGGAACAGTTGGCGCGACAGGCCCTCGCACGTCTCCCATGAAGAAAGTAGTCCGTGCCTTGACGCGAGCGTGCATTCTCGCCACGGTGGCAGAGATTAGGAAATAGGGGGAGGCGAATGCTCGAGCAGTTCCTGCGACCCAAACAGGTTAGTGTTCGGGTGCGGTATTCTACGGACCCTAGCACCTGGGAAGTTCTCGGAAGAAGGGACTCCGCACTCGCAGCCTGTTTGACTGCGCTTGCCTGCTCGGAGAGGCGCGCACCCGGCATCGAAAGGTCTGAAAATGCGCGCGCCGGCGAGCTGCTTTGGGTTGGTCCGGGAGCGCAAAATATGCGAGTAAATTTTTTTTTTCGAAAAGCTAGCAAAGATGTTAGCGCCACGCAAAATATCTGAGGGCGCAAATTGTGCGTGTAAATATAGCGAGACATCTATAGGGATGCGATTGGAGTCTCCGTTGTGAATCAGAGCGTGCAGGGGCATCCACATGCGCAAAAGAGAGCACAGGCTCTTATAAGGAGCACCGTCCAACTGACGCGGCATTGCGTGTGAGGACAGGATGGCAGTTCCATCGCAAAATTTGACGATTTGTAAGCATCGAGGTGTTATGCGATTTCAGACTGCGAAGTGTGCTAAACGACCAGCCATCATTCATCCCCTGCCATTCCCATGTGTTTGTTCCCTTTATAAAAAAAAAAACCTCTCAAAGGGAGGCACTTCAACTCGGGCGTACGAACTCAAGGACGCTGTGAAGGATTAGGTCTCGCCACGGCTACAAGAATTCTGGGAACAAGAAATGCATCGGCTCCTTCACCAACGGGACACAAAGTTATACTTTAAATACAGGCTCTATTTATACCCGCAGAATAACTTCATACCTTTTCATTTAAACGCCTCTTGTAAAATGCACCACAGCAAAGTTAGTCAAAACAAAAAAAAACTTTACGATATAACAGTCCTTCAATGTAAAAACACTCCAAAAAGTTCAGCAGAATAGACGTAATATAAAATGCTAGGGAAAGGAAAGTCGCACTCACATGATCGAGGAATGCACACAAAAATTTCGTTACGACATTGTAGATATTCACTACGGTGTCTATGTTCACCCTAGAGAGATGACCATCCACTGAAAAATAAAACGCAAGGACGTATGAAATTTTACAAAAAACTGCAAAAAAACGAGCATAACAAATGTCAGGCTATATGACGCGCTGAGAAAACAGCATGCACCTACACTCACCATTCTTCATTCTGTCTGGTCCTTGTGTGTGCTAATGCAAACAAAAAAAGGCAGTGAGCTAAACAAACTTCTCAGGTGAGAACCAAATTGTCAGTGCTACCAACGAAGTTTCAGTGAGCGGATGACATCACACGGAGCCTAGGCACGACAGTTGTAAAACATTGTGTATTTCAATGCGTGCAATTTCATTATGCACGCCATCAAAGTGCTTCCAGCACTTATTTTTTTTTTACAGCACTGCTCTCAGGCTACCCAGGACGAAAAAAAAAGAATATAACAGGTAAACATTATGGTTATGCATGGTATAATGCCATACTTAATTATATAAAGAATTCATGAGATACTGATATGAGAATATTATAGGTATTTATTAAAAACTACGAACACCACCAATACTTTGGCTTGCCAACTAATTATATTCTCAGCGTTTTCTTCTTTGTCTCACAAGTTATACTGCCACACAGTTGATGGCCGATGGTGGGTTGATTTTCGGAAGCGACCAATCAACTACGTAGCAGGTCTTCATCACCCGTTTTCTAACTGGTAACGCTACGTTGGGCTCCAAATTAGCAAGACGTACCGTAAAGCGTAGAGTTGTTGTGTATATGGTACAATTTACATATTATTAGTCGAACCACAGCATGCATCTCGTTATGGTCCTTCGTGACTGCAGTATATTGTAAATAAAAGTAGCATAAAATATATATTATAATGTTTAATGGCGCCAGTACAAGGACGAAATCACCGAGCTGAGAAAGGCCAATTCGGCACGCACCATAGAAAGAGGCCTCCTCATGCGACAATACTGCTCATAAATATGAACGGGAAGGGTCATCTGAAACGTCTGTTGCTCCGTGTCAGGCAGCAGTCCTCTGTGGCCGCACAGGTCCTCCTGGATGTTCACATAAATGTATAGGTATACAGCACGATGCCCATTACATACAAAATAGCTGCGTGCGTTATGTATACGGCTGAAAGCTGGCACCACACGTCGAAGAAAGATGCATACAAGGCAATACCCGTGTTCTGAGTTCACTTGTTTTTTGGTGATCGATCTATGCCAGGACGTCAAGGTTGTTGTCATTAGGTTGAACACTTTATAATTTATGTACTTGGGGTAAGGAGGGCAGAAAACTTTCCTGCACGTTGCGTGCAAACTTGCCTCTTCCCGGCGCAGCAGTTCGTGCATCTCTTTCATGGAGACGTCGGCATGACCCTGAGCTGACCTTCCATGAATGTAGTACCCGAACTTCGGCTGGACAAATATGACCACGCTGATCTGCACGAAACGACAGACAGTACGATTAGCTACACTTTTATAACAATCTGAGAACATATATCAATAAAATGGCCAATATGGTGACTACATAGTAGGCCGCCACGCTCTTTGTTATGCATCTCCTCGTAGGCTGTCTCTATTCGTCCATCACTTCAAATCTTTCTGTTGTAAAAGACAAAGTTTCTCAGTAAGGAGTATTTTATTCTTCTTTATGCAGTAGTTGATATATAAGTATCAATCACAATTCAGAACTCACACATATTAAAATAGTCAATGTGAGCGCTCCCGTCTGCGCGTCTCCATGTGTTCATTGCAGGCCGACAGCGACAAGTTGAACGCGTCATGAAGAAGGCATTGACATTTTCGGTCCAACATTTCTAATACATACATAAAAAGGTTAAGCATTTAAAATTATTCGTATAGTTAACTAATAAATTAAAACTGCGTTCATGTTGTGCCCCAACCAAAGGGCCTCGGATCTCCACACTGTGGAGGGCTGCATGGAGCCGGCGCGCATTGTGTGAAGTCCTCCAAGTGAACACCTAGTCGTCCGGAGAGCTCATGCCGTGGGGAAAGCCTTTGGCCTCCTGGTGGGAGGAGCCACCGACTTAGCCTGGAGGCTTTACCCGCGGGCCATACTTTTCTGAATCATAATAAAGTTCTTGCCATTCCATGCCTTACGGCAATAAATGAATGTCCGAGAAATATTCGCAGCTTCTATATTGACCACATTCACGTGTATTCCAGTAGACAGACCCAATGAAAAATGATCTATAGGTCGGTCGTCGTCTTTATATAAGCGGCCTCAGACAACTATAAATTTCATTTACGAAAAAAGGGCAGTTTGTCCAACGCGACACACACTTGCTAAATGGAATAAAATGTAAAAACGTGCGGCTTAATTGTGAAAAAAAAATGGTCATGTCACATGCAGCAAAAAGAGGGCAGAAAGCAGGTATATTGAATACATACATTGCTGACAGAGCAGAGGTCGATAAAGTGTTGAAGCTTGTCTTCATAAAATCGTTCGTAGATGAACTTCTGTAAAACAACCTATAAGAGTAATTCAAAACAGTCAGCTGAATATTATTATTTGTTGGAGTTTAACGTCCGAAAAACGTGGCATATGATTATGAGAGATGTCGTAGTGGAGGGCTTCAAAAATTTCGACCACCTGGGGTTTTTTAATGTGCACCTAGATCTAAGCACACGGGCCTCAAGCATTTTCGCTTCCATAGAAGATCCGGCCGCTGTGGCAGGTATTTGATCCCATGACCTGAGTGTCAGCAGACGAGTCCTTAGCCACTATAGAGCACTGTGGCGAGTATTGCCTAACCTGGGACACACAAAGAAATGTTTACATCTCCAACGCACGGTGACAGTCCTGTGAGAAACATTCTTTGCGCAGGATAAAGCGCAGACTCCACGCTTAAGATCAGGTAGAAAATTTCGAGGGTTAGAAATGTTTGAAACGTAACATATTCCACGATTGTCTTTTGTAGAATACTGTTTTCTTCTTTGATATTTCCCCTTAACACTGTCACACTTCAGGTGATGTGCTTTGAGCAACAAATGCGGAATCGAAGTATCTAGGAACAGTATATATATATATACTGTTCCTAGATATATATGTACACTGTATATATATATATATATATATATATATATATATATATATATATATATATATATATATATGTATATATATATATATATATATATATATATATATATATATATATATATATATATATATATATATAATATATATATATATATATATATATATATATATATATATATATATATATATATATATATATATATATATATATATATGAGCAGCAAGTTACATAGAAAAGGTTTCCAAAGAGAAGTGAAGGCGTAAAGAGAGCCTCCCTGTGAGTGTCAGATATTCAGCAACACATCGCAATTCATTTCATGCACATTGTGTGCGGAGTGAAATGTGCTCGCATTGCTCGGACGTCGCGCTGCGTCATAAGCATTCGTATTAAAAATAACTGCGCTCAAGCATGCGCTCGGCTGCAGCCAGTCGTGGAACTTACGCTAAAGCATGAATAAGATGCTCTGAAGGCCAAGTATCGTGACAGAGACTAACATGTCATTCGGTGATTTCGACATTTATTAGTGTCAGTGATTACCCAACAAAAATACGTCATAAAAGTGGGCATGCCATAGGAGCATCCTATTCTTGAAGCAAGATAATAGCAGGATGGTTGACTATATGCACAGCGCTTGTTTAGCTAATTTGAACTCAGATAGAACATGCCCGTCACAGTGCATGGTGCAGTGGTTACGGTGCATGGCTGGTGACCCGAAAGTATAGCGGGTTTGATCCTAGTTGTGACGGTAGCATTTTGATGGAGACGAAATGGCCTCCATCACGGCCTCCATCATGGCCAACTGGTCAGACCACATGAAAGAACACCAGGTGGTTCCATTTTTCACTACGGGTGTCCCTCATAATCATATTGTGGTTTTGGGACGTAAGTCTGCCACAATTATTATAACCAAAAAAAAAACGAAGTGAAGAGTTCTGCTTCCCAAATTGACAGAACAGAGTTCACATGCTGATGCGTGCACGGCTGTTTTCTCCGTATGCTAAATATGCACTGCATGCGTCCGAAAGATCGTTGACAGTACACTGATAGCTGTTATGAATTACATGCGAATATGCTAATTAACATAATTAAGACAATACGTAAAAGAGCTTCTTCCAGCATGTTGAGTTTATTTCTGGCGTTTAGGTAGAACATCCACATGTCTTTTCGTTGGTCTGTGAAACTTCATTCCTCAATTTCTTACCTGGAACAGAGCAATGAGCAGGTACAGGGACGCCGAAAGAGCAAAACGGCAGGCGGCGCTAAATGGGATGTTGGCGTTCTTCACTGTCCTCGAATAGTAACTCTCGGGGCTGGCAAGGGCCACGTATTCCAGTCCCAGGCCCTGTACCAAGAGAACACGTCAAAAATGCATAATAGTTCAATAACACATAAGTGACGTTGTGCGTATAAATAACCTTTTTTTATAGCAATCAGGGAGCGCGGACCCAGAAACACGTTCTGACACCTGAGTAAAGCTGGGGCCTTTAGCGTGATGGCCAACTTTTCCAAGCTGCAAAAAATTCCTGACAGATTGTACCAATAGCACGCAGCTCCTGCTTTATGGACGATATAGACCAACCACCGTTTGATGACGAATGACTACAGTGTGAAGGCTCAGCAGCTTCCTGGTGACAAGATGAGTCTAAACAGAATAAAGACCGATGAGTTGTTTTTCTCGAAGACCATTTTGTAATATTTGTAGAGTTACGCCGCGACTGCTCCCGAAATTACCCGCTGCCTTTTTCGCCCATCTGCGAAATATGAAAGGGGACTCAAAACGTCTTACGTATATACTGCCCGATGTGCTGTTTATAGCCAGGGCTATCGGCATGTTGTCACGACGTGGAAACCCATACATCAGCCGGCTGGCTACTCACCACTGATTTAGGAAGCCTACCGCCAAAAAACATATAAGAAAGATAATACACTGTGGCATTCAGTCGTTTGTCAATACAATATCTTAAGTCATAAGATTACCAAGCTAGAAATGAAAAAGAGAAAAAACCTTCCCACACAAAATTCAACACACCATCATCACAAAGACGTATATATACGCACAAGCACCTGCGCATGGTGACTGTATGCATGACGGTCAACAACTCGTCTGGTACGACCTAACAACAAACCAATAATGCAACCCAAGCCTCGTTATTTATGCCTCCATGGCATAAAACACGGGAGTCATCACCTGTACTTCATGTGTATATATCGTTCTGAAATAAACATATGTTTTAATTGTACACGTGTTGATCTACTTTTTTGCTCCTTTTCTTCATTATTAGCCTCTATTTTATTAATTGTGTTGTGAAGCTATGTGCCAACGTTACTGGATGAGGACAGTTGGAAAACTCGCGCGAGGAGGCGGCCGCAAATCGTCGCCCATTCCAGGTGTCGCTGGCATCGCTTTGCGACCACGTCACGTGACCTCTCCGCCGCGCAGCCGGCATCGCGCGGAGCAGACGGAGCAGCGACGCGGCTAGCAGGGCCTGCGCTTGCAGACGATTTTTTCCCTGCTGGTAATAATGGTTAAGTAACCTAAATTAAGTAACGTTAAGTAACCTAAATATAAAAAAAAGGCTGGCTCGTTGTTTCGTAACAGACCTTATGCATTAAATTTCAACCATGACAGAGCAGACGATAATGTTTACGCTGTTCTGCTTTCTGGAGAGAAAGCGGACGGTGACTCTGAGCAAGCAATTGTTCGCGGTTGAATTTTGCTCCCTTCGGGAGAACGGTCGGCATGCCGAGGTGTGCTGTGCCAGGCTGTCGAAGTGGATATTCATCGGCAACGTCAAATGAAGTGCCCTTCGTGCAGCGACACTTTTTCAAGCCACCGAAAGACCCCAATGTGCTGAGGGAGTGGAACAATGCGGCAGGCCGTGCAAACTTCGAAGTTACTCAAAGATCATACATATGTGATCGTCACTTTGATGAAGCGGACATTTGCACCTCCTTCCAGCATGTTGTGAATGGCGAAACAGTCTCGATTCCGCGAGGACGCTGGGAACTGAAGAAAGGTGCGGTACCGCGGCATTTTGCTAATTGCGCTGAGCTTGATTTGAAGCTTTGTGTAGAAAATGTTGGCACAAATGCAGCAAGCGTGCTAGTGGCCGAAGATGACATTACCCCAGTTCTTCAGAGTGAAAGTGAGACGTGCACTGAAATGCTTGAACACGAAAACAGGGCTGCCTCAAATGCTGAAAGCATGGAAGTCATCATGAAAGAAAGCTCCACAGGTGAACATTGGTTTGGTGGCATAGAAGACTTGCCCGTGTATGGAGCATGGTGTGTGCAACACACGGATGAGCGTGTTGTTTTTTACAAACTTCAAGAAATTGGTGGCGTAGTTTTTATTGAAAGAGCTGTCGTTATAAACAAAAACTCGACCGTTGTTGTCAGCGCTAAAGGGAAACTTGTGCCGGAATCGTCTTACACCTTTATTAACAGTGACAAGCTCAATTTTACCACCTTGAAAGACGCAGCGCCCTTTCTTCATCTCATTGAGAGCCTGGGTATCTGCAATGGTTTTGATTCTCGTTTATGTCCTTTAATATCAACTTCTAAGACGGCTGAAAGGTCTGGGAGAACATGGAGAAGCAAGCGATGTGCAGTGCTGTCGGCGAAAGCCTTATGCGTTCAGTGCAGGAAAGCAAAAAGAACTTGCAGTGCAGGCAGAAACGACGTTCAAGAAAGAGCAAGTACGTGCCTTTGCCATCTGCGCTGTTGAGAAATTAAGAAAGAAGACTATAAGAGCAACAGTGCTGCGGGAGAAATACAAGAGGGACCTGCTAAGCTTGAAAAAAAAGTTGTCATCAGATCCAAGCAATGCACTGTTGAGCGAGGTTTTAGCTGAACTTCCACCACTGCAGCAACTTGCATTTCGGACAGCACTGCAGTCGATGAAAGCGAAATCTTCAAGAGGTGTGCGGTATGACTGTGGGTGGCTGCTGAGTTGCCTTCTCTTGAAGATTTCAAGCCCACGTGTGTACCGCTTGATGTCAAGAATGAAAATCCTCCCTCTTCCAACTTCGACTAGGCTCCGACAAATAATAAGAGGAATGCCTTGTGAGTTGGCTTTAATAAGCTCTCCCTTTCCAGCATAGGGGCTTTCATGAAGACTATGAAAGGAGTCCAGTGTTACGGCACACTAGTAATAGATGAAATGAAGGTACGCCAAGCCGTAGCTTTCAACCGTCAAACATACAAGATTGATGGGTTCGTAAATTACGGAGACGGTGAAGTTTCAGCAGCTACTGCTGATCATGCATTGGTTGCAATGTTTGTGCCTCTATTCCACTCATGGGTTCAACCGATTGCAAGTTTTGCAACAAAAAACGCAGCCCCCGGACACGTGCTCGCCAAAATAGTTCTTGATGCAATCGTGCAGCTACGCAAACACAACGCCATAGTCGTCGCAGTAATCAGTGATGGCGCCAGCACGAACAAAGCAATGTGGTCCAACTTTGGCATATCAGGAAAGCTTCACACAGCAAACCACAAAGTTCAGCACCCATGCGAGCCAAATCAAAGCCTCTACTTCCTTTGCGATGTACCCCACATTGTCAAATGCATTAGAAACCATCTTCTTCGACACAAATATGGCATGGTAAGTACCACGTACAGTACAATATCGCAATAAATAGTGTCGCGGTGCCAATCAAAATACATTTTCTTCGCAGCACTACATACGACTGACGGACTTTTTTTTCCCTCTCTTCTTCTTGCTCATAGATTGGTGAACATCGCATAAACTATGACCACTACCGAGTTTTGCAAGAAGTAGACGGCAAAGAGCAACTCCGCATTGTTCCGAAGCTTACCGCTGAACACGTCTGCCCTGACAACATGAGAAAAATGAGTGTGAAGCTCGCAGTACAGGTAAGATTACGAAAAGCTGCTTTTGAAAGAACTTATAGCTTACCTGATTATTTAGGCAAATTCTTCACATGTGAAACACAAACTTAACTGGTACTGTGAAGTGTTCTCCTTAAGTCTTTTTGCGATTAATAAAATGCCCCTATACGTTTTCTGTCCCCTAGCTGCTCAGCCGAAGTACGGCTATCGGCCTTGATGTGTACCGGAGACTCAAGCAAGATGGCCTGGAAGACTGCGAGGGGACAGCCGCGTTTACCCGCATCATAAATGACCTTTTTGATGCCCTGAACATCAAGCTTCCTCGTTTTGGGATAAGGAGCACATCCAAGGAAATTAAGGCAAGGGCGATAAAATGTGCTACTTTTGAAGAACATTCGCAATAGGTAATGTTAATCAAGAACTGAGGCACTGGGCATATAAATAAAATACAAAACGCCGACAAACATTTACACCAACAAAAGCCTAGTTTAAGTAGACATTTATTTTGTAATTGAAGGAAGGTATTATTGAAAGAAAGACGACGAATAAATGTCTTGGAACTTAGAACTTCTCCTTCCAGATAACTGAAATAAACGTCGATGAGAAGGCGACACGCCGCAAGCGTGATTTCAAGTATTACCAGCTTCCATTTTCATTCAGTGGCACACATGTTTCATTAAAAAATCAGGTTAAAAATAACTTTATGCCTTTCTTCAAAGGTCCCTTTTTTTATAGGCGTCGACGTTTGCATGTAAGAGCTAGCTTGCACAAAAAAGTAATGTCTAACATAAACTTTTCCCTTTTCTAGATCATCCAAGATTTCATGATTATCTTGGACTTGACAGAGAGAAACCACGTTGAGAAAGGAACAGCCATGTTCGCATCTCAAGTAACAATGGAGTCTCTAAGGGTGACTTTGTCATCTATCTTGGAACTAACAAATGACCTCCTTGCTAAAGGTGCACGCTACGTGCTCACAGGCAAGCTTAATCAAGACCCCTTGGAGGTGAGATTAGCATAATTCCATAAACTGCGCACTTACTTCATTGCATGGAAAATAAACAAAACGGTTATGAGGAAGCATAGCGTGGTTTTAAACAGTCGTCATATCTCTATGTGAGATGTGCAATTCCCGCCTGAGACTTGCACTCTATAAATCCTCTTTATGCATTCCATACGCCATGCGTACTTTGACTTCTGAAAGAGATACATACGGTGAACTGACGTACGGCTTTATTACTACCATTACAGAGGTTCTTCGGAATCACCAGGAGCTTGGAGGTGACGAAGGACCATCCGACGATCCTGAGCTTTTCCCATATCTACAGGTTGCTGAGCCTGTACACACCTGTCAAGGCTTCGATTGCAGGCAATGTCCAAGAGGAGCCAACCTTAATACTAGCCACAGTGCAAGAGACGATGAAGCAAGGGAAGAAGCAGCAGCTGGCAACGTATGAAAAGTTGCGTGAGACAATCAGCGCAAAGATTTCCGAGGTTTGCTTGCCTGGAATAAGTTCAGCATCCCACTCGGGACCGACACCGCTTCCGGACCACGGATATGCTTTGCCAGCAGTACAGGAGTGCGTCGTATATTACCTCTGCGGCTACATTGTACATTCTTTTCTGAAGCACGTCAACTGCGCTGCTTGCATAAGCAGCATCCAGTCAACAAACACTAAATTCCCCGCTTCACTACTGACATTGGCAAGAGAATTCAGGAACGGAAGCCTCAAGCATCCCTCTACAGAACTTTACACAATGTTGAAACGCGTCGAAGAAAAACTGTCTCTCGTGCTAGGAGAAAACCATCTGTGCGCCGACATGTTTTGGGATGCGCTGGATGTCATCAAAGACTGCGATGTTCCAAGCGTTGGTTGTTCAGTTCATAAGGACATCCTGACATCGGAGATTGTACACTCATACGTTGTTTTGAGAATGCACTTTTTTACGAGAGATGTTTGTAAGAAGCTGAGTGCTTCTGGCAGGGTGTCTTCTACAAAAAAGAAAGCCAAACTTCTCTAGACTACGCACCAATAAACTACGCAGTGATTTAACATAGAAATGTTGCCAAGTAAAAAAAAAACAGGAACTTGAACAAATGTGTTTGGTGGCTTTTCTTACAGTTATTGCACAGCAACATGCACAGATCTCAGTGAATTAAGGGCTGTAATGAGGACACGGGAACATCGGAACAGCATTAAATAACCTAGCAGGAGTCCCACGTAGAACACAGCCAGCTTACCGGCGACGCATGTCATTGGTTCGAAATTTGGGTATTCGAGTGTCAAACTAAAATGACGCTGTTCTTTTTAATTCGATTGCATTCCTCCCTTCATGAAGAGGTGACGAAGAGATGAAGGAGCTTCTCCAAGCTCCTTAATTCATATCCACTCGATTGGCATTCCGTGTTCCTAGTCATGCACATTCGATACATTTAATTGTCAATCGGAAAAACAATCTTTACACTTAATAAAACTTCTAGGCGCGTAAAACTTTTTTTCGCCTTTTGATTTTTTTTTTTTTTTTTTTTTTTTTTTTTTTTTAAGCAAGTGATCTTATCTTCTTTCTAACATATATATGTTGTCGTAGTAGTAATAAATCAGTTGAAAGTCTGCGCTCGTCCTCGTCTCTTGTGTAGTTGTCTGAAGTTTACGCGCCTAGAAGTTTTATATGGATTACCAACTAGCCCAATCCCACACTTTACTTAAGTACACTTAATAAAATAGTTGAATTTGCACAATTTAAAAACTGTATCTACTTACAAACGGTATGCATTTAAAAAATACAAGCCGACTGTTACGAACCATTCTGTTAAAATTTGTTTGTAACTACGTGTTTCTTCTGCAAAAGATTGCTGTGCTGGGAACCAAAAAAAAAAAGTGAGTTGTCTCGTAAGATATACATCATCGTATTATTCTCCCTGACAAGCCACACAGATAACGCACCGCAGCGTAAATGCAGCGGCATTGTATACAATAAAAACATGCGCAAGTTTTCAGAACTCGCGACTGTTTCATTTAGAACGCTTACTGTCGCTTTCAAATAAGAGCATGCTTTTATAGAAACGCTCAATGTAAGGACTGCACGAGCAATGCGATCTCAAAAAATTTTCAGGAAATTTCAGTTTATGCTCTCGGAGGCACCTATTCATTAGGCAAGCACAAGCTCATCACATCGAAACACCTGCGGAATGCAGTCAGCACCATCAGCACGTGGCAAAAAGAACCACTCAGACTTCGTTCAGAGCTCCAAGCTGTGTCCACCTTCATCTATGCAGTGGTTGTAGCAGGAAGCTCTCAATATGCATCCGCTAACAAGATTCCTTGAGATATGAAGTGCTCCAAAAACGCTGCGCCGTCCTTCGGAGACGGGGCGCGGAACAGACGACGAGCAGACGACGCACGAAGCTCGTCACATGACCAGGTCGCAAAGCGATCGCAGCGCCCCCGCGTTTTGGGAGACTGTGAGCGGCCACGCCGCTTCCGTGGCGAGCCCATGCAGTTTCCCAACTGGCTCCATCCAGTAACGTTGCTATGTGCGTACTATTATCCATTTCATCCTGTATGATCATATTTATTCACTATGTGTGATAATTTTTTTGCATTGCCCCCCTTAGCCAATGCCTCTCACGAGGCCTACAAAGACTTTTTTTTTAATAAATAAATGTATATCGAGTAGTCAGTATTAGGTCTGGATAGCAAAGAACCACACAAACGCATTAGGCCGATATTAAAAGGATAACTTTTCTTGCATCTTTTGACGCTGTCGTCAGGTGTGTATTGTCCAACACCCCCAATCTATCCCCCCTTTTTTTTTTGCTTTGTCATAAAAAACACTAAACGCGTTGATTGGCGTGAAATGGCTTTTCGGTGACGGAGACTGTTGCGTCCTACAGCCAGCGTCCGTTCACCGATATCCTCGCCTTTAGCAGAAGCAGCAGCACAAGAAGTTGCAGTGAGAGGGAGACCCTGCGATGGCACTGCAGTTCGCACCACTCGTTGGCAACGAAGTACGAACGCCAGATGCTGACTGCCGTCGCCGATTCATCGCCCTTGTGGTCGGTGACCACTACGCTGGAGCTATGGCTGCTCGCGTCTCCGAGTCCAGCGACCTGCACATACACCAGCATGCTCATACTCCCGGATCTTCTAAGCAAGGCTTTCTTTTTTGCTTGCTTTTCATGCGTAGTGTTTATCCCTGCGAACTAGACGGCAAGCAGTGCATCAAGTGTTTTAGAAAATGCAAGGCACGCTACACATTTCGCCAAGGTGGTCTAGAGGTCGACCGCTGGCCCGAAGGTCCCAGGATCTAATTCCGGCAGCGGTGGTCGTGTTTCAGTGGAGGCGAAAAGATAGCTCGTGTACTTGGATGTAGACGCCCGTTGAAGAGATCCAGAAGGTCAAAATTTCTGGAGTCCCTACTACGGCATCATATAAATCGTGCTTTTAGGACGTCAGAACCCAACAAGTATTGTTGCTTTTAAAACTATACAAAAAAGGAGGCGGAAAACAAAAGAGACGAAAATAGTTGGACAACCTGTTTGCCATAGTGCACAGTGAGAAACGGGTACAGCGATAAAATGCAAACAAAGTCGAAGATTGAAGGGAAGCACTTTCATCGCCAACCCGTAGGACAGGCCATCACAACTACAGGGCCAGTGCGCGAAGCGTAAATTCCATTCGTATGTCTCGGGCAATCATCTACAATCTATGGTCAGAATATCACAGGGCGAACATACACGTCGACGTGTGAGTAGGACGGGCTAGCCTCTCGATGACACTACTTCGTGCGCAGTCCAGGTTAACGAAAGGACGGCATGCAGCAGAGATTAAAATGCTGCAGAGGCAACATTCGACTTGTATCCTGACCTGTGAGCCGTCTCCAGCCAAAGAGAGCCGTGGGGCTTCCTTCCGAGGCAGGCGCGGAATCTGTGAAGCACCGTGTGGTCTCTCCCAGTCTAAGAAGAAAATGTCCGCGCTGCTCTGAAGAAACACGACGTGGAGAAGGTAGAGTGTCTGGCCAAAAAAAGCGACATTATCTGTATTGCCCGCTTTACGTAGGTTTTATGTAATAATAAAACTGCGTGCACAAAATAATGTCGCGATGTCCTGACGTGGACGAAGGGAGCAGACTGCATGTTCCGGTTAAACTGTTTATTGGGTCGAACGTGTGGTCAGATAAAAGGAAAGTCAGGTTAGAGCAAGACACTGGCACTGATGGCGGCGAACAGAGCTTCGCCCATCGATCAACTGACAAGCGACGAAGCGCCTTGGCATTTATACATGTGCCGTCGAATAGTTCGGTCTTATCAGTGGTCGTCGCGCAAGCTATGGAATAATCTCAAGCATTCGTGTCGTGCGTGCAATCTTAACAGAACGATCTACAATGATCGTGAACCTTCTTAAACACTAAGGCGCAGTTTGCACTGAGCATTCTTGATAGGCTTTGCGGGAGCAAACCGAATGAAGCGAAAGTGAAAATAAGAACGTGCATGGCAATATCATCAGACGATGTTTGTCACAAATTTTTTTTTAGCCTTGACTTGACAATACGATGCAAAACGTAAATTAAATTTCCAGGTTGAGACAGGGAACTCGTAACATTATGCGTAGGGGCTAATCAAGTATGTCATTTAACTTTATCGTCTGATCTCCACCATCTGGCTTATTATAATATTACTATAATAGCAACAACAACAACAACAATAATAATAATAATAATAACACCCATCTAACCTGTTCTCTTACCTTCATGACAAATGCGAAGACAATGTACAGTTCGATATCCTTCTCCTGGTGTGGACTTGGAAGAAGCATATGGACGACATCCTGAAGCTATAGACCAGACAATGTAAAAAAAATTACACATCGTCCTGCATTGCCAATATGCACACGACACCACAATTTGGTGGAGTGAAATTGCTTCGCAAGTAAATTAACAAACGTCGCAGAACTAAAGGCGTTAGTGGCACGTATGATGCCGATCCCACGGACGTCTCATTGTGAAAGCTCAACATACCGTAAAGCTTACTTAATAACATTCTAGGAAAGTTAGCAGATGCGAACTATCTACTAATGAAAAAACTAGAAGAAAGCAAGACAAAGGTCTCAAACAAAGAGTGAACGACGGAAGCTTACACAGGGAGCCATGGAGGCAACGTTTAGAAAAGGTGCTTATTCCTAGTAATTCGATATCAAGGGCACTAATCCAAACGTTCACTGTATCATGGGGCTTCAGTTATTCTCTTTTTGCTGATAAACAGCAAAAGAAGCAGCGTACAACTTAATAAGCGTGCGGTTCCTCGTTCTCTTCCGGATCATCTTGGTGTGAAGCATGTGCCGATAGCACAGAAATACCACGAAATCAGGCGCAGTAAAATCTACCACAGGTTAGCCTTCATTAGCTGGCAGCAAGAACAGCATGTTTGGCGAGGCCAAGAGTGGGGTACACTGTGAACAAGCGATGTAAATGATGACCAAGCCTCGAGTTCTGGCGACGATTTTGTCCTTGCATACTACATCGATTTATCAGAATTCTATAGCTTACTATACGCAAGTGTCCAGCATATTGCAATACGGCTAAATATGCCGAGTGATAGAAACTCAATATGCTATACCAAACGACATATTACTACAGCAAGTTTTTGCAAATATTTATCCAGTGAGAGCGTCGAATAGCACAGTACAGCTCTAAGCTCTAGAAAATAAAAAAAGAAAAAGGCTGCTTACCTTATACATTAACAGCCAGTTAAGGCATGTGCACAGAACCACTATAAGGAAAACACTGGACAGGCTTGAACAGGTGTATACGATGAGCTTGACGAATGTCTGCACAGAGAGATAATCGGTACATACACAAGAGGATAGTCCTTCAAACTATTACTATCCAATACCGACGTATGTCCTTTTTTAATGTTTTCAGTTAACTTTCAAGGGTCAGTCTCGTTATCATTAGTTACATCTGCCCGTCTTCGTCCGTCGAGGTGAAGCAGTGGTTCGGCGCTCGACTGCTGACCCGATAGTCGCTGGTTCGATCTCGGCCGCGGCGGTCACATTTCGATACAGGCGAAATGCCATAGAGGCCCGTGTATTGGGCGATGTCAATAGAACACCCAGGTGGCCGACGTTTCCGGAGCCCTCAGAGCGTCTCTCATAATCATATCGTGGTTTTGTGATGTAAAATCAAGATATTATCAACTTAAGACCTAATAATAATCATTGTGGGATTTGATGTCTCAAAACCACCATATGATTACGAGAGACGTCCTTTAGTCGAAGGCTCCAGAAATTTTGGCCCTCCTGGGCTTCCTTAACGTGCACCTAAATCTAAGCACATGGACCTCAAGCATTTTCGCCTCTATCGAAAACGGGGCTGCGCGTCCGGGATTTGCTCCCGGGACCCGCGGGTAAGCAGTCGAGTGTTTTAGCCATCATACTACCGTGGCCACAAAGTTCCGAGCATGTGATCACTACAGATCGAATTTTAGGCAAATGCATGTTTTGTTCCTTGTGCTCTTATAGCCCCACTTTCATATATGAGCGTGAATTGGAGTTTGAGAAAAACTTTTTAGTGTTTTTATGGTGCCTACAAATGCTTATTTGGGGCGTTTGTGCCTAAATGCACATAAATGCCTATAATGGCATATATCGAAATGGGCACTTACATTAGCACTATATTAATTGCCACGTCGTATTATTCTGATGTATTCGGGTTTCACCCAAAAGGGCTGCTAACAATGCTCGGCACAGACCACACTGCATTCGTCCACATCACGAACCCAAGACACCATTTAGCCTCAAGTTTCACTTTCCAGCACAATTTTAGACCGATATTCATGTTACCAGGCAACACTGCTGTTCGGAACGGTGCGGGTTTCAACCAACTCTTTTTGCTTGACCAACTCTCAGAAAACAAAAGCCAAGGCCACGCTCTTGAAGGCACCCTTTCGCGTACGCTCGTTCAAGGAAAACTTGCCGTACGTGCCCATTCCTCCAGAGCCCATCGTCACATGTTGGCGAACATGGCCAAAAGTTGTAGCGTTTAGATCCACAGCGTTTCGAGCAAAAGTCGATATAAGTGGTACACTGGAACACTTCTTATCCCCACAGTACGTACCCCAATGTTGACGGAGACTTTTCCTGATCTGCGGGTCCAGCTCCAGGTCTGAATGCAGGCCCACAAAATTGCCAAGGCGCTCAGAACACCTAATGCAATCTGCGTAAGTCACCCAAGCACTTAAGTCAACTAATTGCTCTTGAATTTGGCTATATTGTTCAGTGAGTGGTGCTAGATAAATGCTTCTTTGAAATTTTCAGCACAATCGTATAAGAAAAAAAAACGTCAACCACATATGCTTCAAATGCTTAAACTACAAACGAAGAGGTTACAGCCAGTAAAATATATTCTGTGAAAGCAGATGAAGCCTGGTAGCATTTACGAATCAAATCGATATATACCAAAATTGTGGTTCAACTTTACCCGTTTAGCTTCTTCAGAGCGTATGTGTCGCAAATATTTTTCTCCATGACTTAGAGACGACTTTTGCCACCATCACTTCCATAACCTGGACTCTGCCTGCCCATGCTACGTTCGCAAGCTTCATTGGACTGATTTATTTGAGCGTACGCAGCAGTTTTCCAGACGTAGCCATGGGTAACAGGCTGAGTCTGCAGAGCTGCTGTGGACGCCCAACTAAATCTGTCTACTGTCTGAACAAAGACACGTGTATGCGTATCTGCTTTGCTAGACACAAATCACGCATAGTATAAGTTATTGAGAGACTCGTAAGTCGTGACACCGAGTTATACTGGAGACTATACAGCGATGTACTGCACGACAAGTGCGAACTCTTTAGGCTCCACAAGAGCAGGCGCTTAAGTGGCAAGACTGCATGTCTGGTGTATTTTCTCTGTAGTGCCATCGCACACGCCTACTTTGTCTGAAACAGCCATATGAAAACAACCCTATAGACTATCCTACCGGAGATATGAATTTTAGTGTTGCTAGCCATAACTGAGTGGTCATGACACAGAATTATTCAAGCTTTACAAATAAGAGCCCCCGGATTGGGCACCGAATGCACGTTTAATGTATACGTTCTCAGTGGCTGAAAGCAAATGGTGCATTTTTAATCATCAGACGCGAGAAAATGTGTGCCTACAGATCTCAGTCGTGTCTCCAACCCACCACTGTCGAATTATGTCTGTAGTGCTCAACCGACCTTCTTAAAGTACAGCGCATCGTAATTCGTTTCGTTGTCCTCCAATTTTGATTGTAGAACAGCATGAGGGAGCAAGCATATCTTACTTACCGGCATATCTTGAGCCGCCTGGTTGAAGTCTGACGAATAGGTGATCGAGAATGAGAGCTAAGAGAAAAGAGAAATATACATCATATTCTGTGCCTCCTTGCTATATAAATGAAAAGGAAAGCGCATAAAAGAAATGTTAATGCCGCCTAACATTTAGTTTTCACATCATTATGATACACTGCTGTCACCTGCTCAAAAATTGTTTGTTATGTCATTATATTGATAACTATTTTGGAGTATATATTGGAGCAATCAACTGCATACTCAAAACTTTACTTTCCCTAATGATGCATACAACTTTCGAAAACAAATGCACTGAGTCCCAAAGACGCGCACAAAGAAAAACAAAAATTAAATAATCAGGTAACTGTGGCTATTAATAAAATGCTGACAAATGTTGATTTTGATGTGTTGAATTCATTTAAAAAGCAAAGAAAGAAATGTTTACTCGAATCTGATTTGTTCTTTGTATAAGTTTGTATTTTGTATCAGTTTGTGTTTCATAATGCTTTGTATCTTGTCTACGCTGCATGCTTAAGAGCAGCATTGTGTTATATTTGCAAATACAGCAAGCTCTGCAATTATGTGTTTTCCTTTATTTATGCTAGGCTGTACAGGGGAGCCGAGGCCTTTGTCATGCATTCCAGTCTTTAACCCAGGCAAAGAAAAAAAAATAAACTTCACTTTAAATATGAAACTAGTTTATATATAACTGCTCATGTTTACTCAGTGGACATGTCATCAACAGGCATTCCAGCACTCACGGCTAATTTGGCGTTTTGCTCGTATGCGTCCCTTGTAGCTTCTGCGTAAGCAATGGTAATAAGTGGCGGGTGTATGGAACCGGGCTTTCCTTTTTTGTGAAGCACGATGCTGAAATGAAGAAAATAAAAATACGCGTCGAAATTTGATGAGATGAGTCAAAGCGATATTTACGCGATGGTGATGAACTGGCCTCTAATCAGGGTGTCTACCAATTTGACATTTCCCAATCCCCTGACTTTTCCAGGTTTTGCATGACTATTAAAAGCAAATTCCATGACAGCCACGTCTGCATGGAAAACTCTGTGCACTGGAAACAAACCCTCCAGTGGTAAAAACCAGACATTTGGTTAAAACGAAACATTTATACATCCGACGACTGTAAAGCGTGGGGAGCAAGAGCAACGCTGCAGCACATGTTGTGGGAATGCACCGGTAGCGTGCAGCAGTCCCCGATGAACCGAGTATACATGGCAGGCTCGAACCGCGAGGCGCGATGGGAGGTGGCTCTGCTCAGCCGCAACCTCGCCGATCAACTGTGGGCAGTTCGGCACGCCCAGGAAGACATTCGTGTTCAATGACTCGAGGTCGTCACCTAGGCTAGCCTGATTGTAGCCCGACTCTGCTGAATACCGCCGGACATTGTCAGTAAAGGTTTTACTCATTCACTCCATATAAGTAAACATATTTACGAGACGCACTCAGGATGTTCTGAGCGCCTGCGGTGAATGTGAAAAAAAAAATGTATATTTGGCCAAAATAAAACCGCTGAGCCAGGCAGTGAGCAAAAGTACGCTATTTGATGTTTGGAAGAGTCAGGAAGCAAACACACAAGTTGAAATTAACCGCAGATTAAGAGCCTTCGATAGTGTGACATCGCAGTCAAAGCTGTTAGGAAACATACAAGTTGTGCCACCTCGCGGCATTTGTGTGAAATGAGGACACAGGAGCCTGGCCGGTTCTGCCACTGGAGTGTAACCTAGTTTACTATAATGTCTATAGCCCAGACCATTGACTATAGCCATTGAATTGCATCGACCTGAACTGCTGTATTTATTGACTCAACTATTTAAATATGGATTGGATTAGATCTTATTCGACCTGCTTTGCTGCATTTGCTATTGATATATGTCCCTGACTAATTTGCGCACCTCTAAAATATACACTATTCGCGTATTCTGTGTATCTTGCCTTGACAACAAGTAACGACAGCGTTACAAGAAAAAAACTATACTGCAAAATTTTCTTCTTTTTTTTTCCGACGAGCACATGCACGTTTGTGCCCCGCCGCGGTGGTCTAGTGGCTAAGGTACTCGGCTGCTGACCCGCAGGTCGCGGGTTCAAATCCCGGCTGCAGCGGCTGCATTTCCGATGAAATGTCGTAGGCCCGTGTGCTCAGATTTGGGTGCACGTTAAAGATCCCACGGTGGTCAAAATTTCCGGAGTCCTCCACTACGGCGTCTCTCATAATCATATGGTGGTTTTGAGACGTTAAACCCCACAAATCAATCAAATCAAACATGCACGTTTGTATTTTATGTCCCTGGGCTCGAAGTGCAATGAAAATCCTCGGACGGCTGCAGTGCAAGCTGGGGTTTGAATATGTTATGGCAAGAAAGAATCTGTCCAGGTGCAACAGCTCCCTTGATTCCATAGATGAATCACGAATGTCGGCACGTTACTTTTATTTACTCTGCTGTGGACGTGACGCTGAAAAATAATTACAGATTTACTTACACGATCTCACGAAACTGAAATGGGAAATTTAGCTGAAGTGACTGGAGTGCTACACTTGAAACACGAGCTACCAGCAATAAGTGTGCAGCTGAGGACGTTTGCTGTTGCATCGATTGATATGCGCGGTTTAACGTCCCAAAACCACCATATGATTATGAGAGACGCCGTAGTGGAGGGCTCCGGAAATTTCGATCACCTGAGGTTCTTTAACGTGCACCTAAATCTGAGCACACCGGCCTACAGCATCTTCGCTTTTAACGAAAATGCAGCTGCCGCAGCTGGGATTCGATTCCGCGACCTGCGGGTCAGTAGTCGAGTACTGTATCCACTAGACCAACGCGGCGTGGTTTGCTGTTGCATCACTAATAATAATAATAATAATAATAATAATAATAATAATAATAATAATAATAATAATAATAATAATAATAATAATAATAATAATAATAATAATAATAATAATAAGCATGATTGGCCCGGCAAGCTTCTGCTGATTGGCTGTTCTAGCTTAGACAAACCAGATGGCCTTCAAGCCGAGCCGAAATCGTGGCCTAGACAAACATGCTTAAATTTACAGACGTGAGTAATGTTGTGGTTCGAAAGTCAGATATGCCTTGTAGAAGCAACAGACATCAAAATAGTGGATGTACCAATGTGGAAGCAAAGGAATGCTTTAGCCAATGTGAATGACAAGTTGCCGAGCGGAAATTTCCTTGGTCTCGTTTATGCCATAGTGTGCCACAATTGTGACAACCAGTACATCGGTGAAACTAGTGATTTCAAGAAAAGAGTTAAACAACACAAACATGATGCCAAGAAATGACGCGTGGCCTCGAATGCCTTCACTGAACACGCGGAATCTAGAGACCACCAAATAGACTTTTAAAACGCGTGTGTTCTGGACAAAAAAAAAAAACCGCATCTTTCCACGGGGAGGATTCGAGTAAACGCGTCATGGAGTGGGGGGGGGGGGGGGGGGGGTATGGCGTGATGGCGTGAATGTTGCATAATTGGGTAAAGTTTCGGAATGCTTAATTGTTATCTCGGTTTCATTATTCATAAGGAGAAGCGTAGTTTTCAACGAATGGTGGGACAATGATGCCGGGTTGTGCCCCACTACTGGTTGTATACCCTGTTGCTTCCATCGTATCTGCTCAAGTCAGCCAAAGCGTCAAGTGAAAGCCAAGTAAAGACGTCCTTGACTGAAATCCGAACGCCCGATCCAATGTCTACATATACGGGGTGGTCAGCTATCAGTTGTGCAGCACAAGCAGTCTGTTTTTACTAGCAGACCCTGCCTGCAGCGGCCTTGCGAGGTTAGAAAGTGGGGTGAGTGATAGTTGGCACGAGATGCGAGCATGCCCAGTAGGGGTGTAGACAGCACCGCCTGTGCCAGATTTGAAAGTAGGTGTGACTATAAAATGCTCTGCATTTAAAAGAAGCTTGTATCATGCCTGAACCTGGTATCCAGATACAGAGGATTGTACATATGCTGAACAGGAGTCATGGGACGCTTCAGATGATGTACTCTCACTGCATATGTCATGTATTTAGGCCTACCTAAGTACACTGTGCCTTTCTTATGGCTTTTATTGTGTATAAGGCTCCCTCCCATATAAGGTCCTGAAACATCAGTAAACTTTGGGTTCTATGGGTCGGTGTATCCTTCCGCGTTTACACTAAGAAACAAGAACTATGCACTGTCTTTTTATTTTTACAGGTCTTCTAGCAGCTCACTCTAGTTGGAGCTGAAAGAGCGCCTTTTAATGTTTCGATAAATTTTAATGCCTATTTATGTGACGGTCACACAAAACCGCTGTCAGTTTCCATGACCTGGCCAGATTTTCCAAAATTCCCTGACTTTTCTATGACTTTTCCGGAAGGGTCCATATTCCCCGACTTTTCCAGGTTTTCCAGGTTGGTAGACACCCTGCTAATGTATATATAATATATATATATATATATATATATATATATATATATATATATATAATATAATATGATATATATATATATTATAGATATAGATTATATATTATATATATAATATATATATATATATATATATATATATATATATAGATGCGTTACATGCTAAATTGCTTAGAGCATTAGAGCATGACAAAGTTTTACACTTGTTAAACACTCCTAATTGCGAAATTTCGCTCTTCGCATAAAATCAACTGCACTCACTGAATGTTTATTTTTTGTGCATAGCGTAAAATCTTGGCCATGGGCCGCCCGCTTGGAGAGACGCTGTCGCTGTCCCTTCCAGTGACGGGGTCAAGCAAGGAAAATCTCCTGACCAGCTGCCACGATAATGCTCCATACTCTGAAAAAAAAACGCACATATCTGAACCTCCGATGCCGTAAGGCCAGTCATAAAAGAAGACCATGAATCAATATTGGTCATGCTTGTAAACGTTGCACACTGGAATACCACTGCCCATGTTTTCCTCTATTGTTTCTTGCAAATAATATTGGGCTTCACCCATCTTCTTGAGTCGACAAACATGTTCTATTCTGAATAACACTGTAACAGCACAGTAACCCGACAAGGCCTCTTTACCGTCTGACTGATTTCGTATACGACATTTCGCACAGTCGAAGCAAATTATCGTGTGCACACCCTTCGGACTTACCACTGTGTCCTCTGGAGTTTTTCTCTAAGTTTTCGATCTTCACTGGGACTGGATAAATTTTCTTCACGCCATCTTGGTTGCTCTCTAAGACTGTTGCGAGAAAATATTTATCGCACCGTGGACAACATATCAGCATACAAGTATTAGGTTGGAAGGACGTCAAATTTCAGTACTCACAAATATCGTAGAACACGAGAAGCGATTCATCCCACAGGTCTCGAGTTGTCTTTTGGCACTAAAGAAAGTATTTAAAAAATAACACGCTGATTAACAAACCCTGATTTTTCATTCAGTTCTAATTCCCGAAAAAGAACACAAGCCATGGATTAAATTCTCCAGCAGTTGCTGATAAAGAAATATGGAAATGTCTTCATTCTTCCGCTTTATTTTACGTAAACATATCCACATCCACGAATCTCAATGGTATTAGCAAATTTTGTACCTTGCGCAAGTTATGTTTCAATACTTAACTACAAGAAAATTTCGCATACCTTTAACTTCATAAACAGCGTTAAAGATATGCTTTAGTTAAAGGAAAAAAGGTGTCTCACTCACCTCTTCAGCGAACGTAGTTCCAAATCGTAGTACATCCTTGTTCGTCAGGAACGTACCGCAGAGCTAACGACACAAGGAATAATCTGTAACTTTTTGGCAGTTTCAGAGAGTAATAGTGAAACACATGTATACCTGCCGTTTTATCTTAATCAAAATTCGAAAATGCACATGCAAGCACTCACGCTGAGCTCCCTTATCTTCAGTGGTCCTATGGCGATAAGCTTTCCTTCAAGGCTATACTTGGCAACGATAAAGTGGAGGTAAGAAGACTGAAAAAAAAAGAGATAAACGTGGCGTACAGTATTCACCCACAACCTGCATGCAGCACCGGACTTGTTCCAAGAGGTTCCTCCTTACGTTCTTCCAATGCTTTATAGTGAACTGGTTCGGAACATCGGTCCTTGAAATAACGAGGTTGGCATCGTCATCCAAATAGAACAGCCACGGCAAACCCTGCTGGTTGCTGTGCAAGTCGAGAGAAGGCATACGATAGTCATTTCATGTCTGCTTCATCGAATACTGGCACGCTCATTAGCCATACACTAGGCGTCTACATAAAAAAAGAGTTTAGATACAGCTACATGAAAGGTTTTAGCAGTCACACACTGCTCACGACTATATATATATATATATATATATATGAAAAAATAACCTGAGCATCGAACGCGTTATTCGAAGGTCGTAGGTTCGTTTCCTGCTCACGGCTGGTTATTTTTTCATCCACTTTTCTTTCTCTTATTTACATTCCATTGGTTCTAATAACTTCCCCTGTACATTCCTTGGCATTACTGTCTGTTAGATCTCATTAATATTGTGTTAAACAGCGGAAAAACGAGCCCTTAGGTATACACTTCTTTCCCTTATATATATATATATATATATATATATATATATATAATATATATATAATATATATATATATATATATATATATATATATATATATATATATAATATATATATATAGTAATGGAAGAGAGAAGAGACCGCATTCTTGCTGTGGGCTGGCTGTTCTGTTTCTGACTTCTTTTTCTTTCTCCTCTAGCCGGGTATGCACTCATGCCTGGGCATTATTATTACACTCGGCCACACTGCGTACATGCAGATGCAGTCCTGCTAAAGCTCGCCCTTCGCTAGAACAGGTCCTCTCTTCGAAGACCATGAGCCACCCTAGAATAAAGCTAATGCTTCTGGTGAGCGGCACTGGCTGTTTCGCAGAGGCCGGTCACGACCACGGTGCCTCTTGCTTTGAAAGTAAGGTGATGAAAGTAAGGGGACGCCATTGACTTTGTCGTGCCGGTCGTTGCGTCTTCCTTTGAAAGTCTCAATTGAAAGTCTCAACAATTCTATTGTTGGTTTCACGTTGGTCATCGTCGGCCCGCAGACCCTGAGCTGCCAACTTAACCGAAACCGTCTCTGGCGGGATGTATTAGCTATGTCTGTGGTGTCTCTCTCGTGGACGCCACGACTCACCTTGCGGGGCTGTGGCGGGTGACCGTGGCTGTCTCGTTGCGGCCGCAGCACGCTTAGCAGGCGATTCAGTTGGCACAGTTTGGGGCGCTGGTCTTCATTCGCGTCAGTGTTCTGGACAGGCAAACAGTTGCGTAGCGAAGAATTAGCAGAAGGTCGGACAAGCTGTGGAGCTTGATCGTGACTCAACGTAGCAGCGTCTATGTTGCTATCGACCTGGGACGCAAGGCTTCTGGGATGGCCGATGTCAGCCACGTCTGCTCGGGGCGCATCGACGCCTCCGTGTTGGCATCCACACACTCGGACAACGACTGTGGTGCGCGTGACATCCAGGCACGTTCACTTGTTCAAGTGATGATGAACGTGATAGCAACTTCTCCGACTGATGTTGGTTGCAAATGCTCTCAGTTTCTGGCTGTATAGCGGCCGCATCACACACTGACGCACACTCAGAGAGCTGTAATGGTGCGCGGAATTCGGGGTCAGTTTCACCAGCAGGGACGTCTACGGTGTTTTCGGCCGAGGAATCGTATGGCACAGCTGCAGCGTCGGAGTGAGGCCCTTCACGATATCGGTGTTCGAGGGAAGGAACAATGATGGAAGCCCGAGCTGCGTGATCGATGCTGTGTTCCTCGCAGCTCTCATGCAGGATAAAGACTTGGTCGGCGTCAAAGGAGCAGCAGATATCAAAAAGCGGGCGGAAAACACTCATCAACCTCGAACACCAGTGAGACCAGGACTGCTGTTGTACAACTTCATAATGTGCCAGGCCTTGGCCGCAAAGCAAAGGTGGTCGATGGCCACCAGCCATTTTCGACACTCTGGCCAGTCATAGCGGGCGCCGAGAGCATTCACTGTTTCGACCCACAGCGCACCAGTCTTGGAAACCTCGGAACTTCGGCAGTTCCTATGCAACTGTAGGTGGTAGTGGCGAGTACAGAGACCCGGTAGTACACACGGCGAAACGATCTAGTACTCGGCAAGCAAGGATGTTGCCTGCATTACGTTCGTAGGTAATGTGTGTGAGGAGTCCGAGGAGCCAAGAGCGATGACCGCGGAGATCACGGGTGCCCCGGTACTCCCGATGGCGGTTGAGACTCCGTATTTCCAACATGTCTGTTGCTGAGACAAGCGTGCGGCCTCGCGGATGATCCTCGCAGCATTTTCGGCTTCGGAGGAGCCACCCGGGCAACCATTGGCGGCGGCCGAGGAATCTTCTGTTGTCGCAGCAATCAGCACGCTAACAGAACGTCCTGAATCATAGAAACGTGGTCAACGCGACGATTTAAAGCGTCGATAAAATACCGTCGAGCCGTCGAGGAGGCCTAAACGACGTCCCCGGACGGTGCTTGTAGCGCCGGCTGGTCAGCGGGTACCAAAGAGACCTGTACGCCAACCTTGAAGTGGGCTCCCTGCAGCAGCATGCTTCTGTGCGCCATAGCTGAGGAAGCGTTCCTAGAGTGACGGGTCCGTAACGTCGCAGACGCTGAAGCACGGATGGCTTCTGCCATGAGGTTCGGTTGCGTACTGCGCCATTGTAATGGAAAAGAGACAACACCCTTGCTGCGGGCCGGCCCGCAGCACGTTGTTTCTGTGTCTCTTCCATTACACTGGCGCAGTGTCTAAGATATATATATATATATATATATATATATATATATATATATATATATATATATATATATATATATATATATATATATATATATGCATGTGTATAAACAGGTGCGTAGTGTCAACAGCGTGTTAGCCACGCGTTTGCCTAGGCACAACTTCATCAATTTCTCGCAATCGCGCCAGGCGTTCGATGAGCACCAGCCCAGGCAAGGAAATGTAACTGCGGTAAAAATACCGCGCCACTGAGAACCCGTGCGTACTCTTTTGGAACAAGTACATCAGCACGGTACAACAGCACCACTTCTTCATCTGTTGAGGTCAGCTGTTCATATGTTTATGACCCACGAGGCAGTGACAACTGTAGCGTTCTTGACACCATGCTTAAACGGCTCCTGGCGAATGTTCAGTATCAACTCTGAGGAAAATCGCTGCCTTGACTGGCTAACATGAGCTGAAGAGCTTGCTTTCCTGCTCAGACAATTCGGTGGGTGTGGGCGCGAGGCCCGTTATACTGAAGACGCGGGTGCTGCAATCGCTGTGATGTGCATGGTTGGGTCACGTGATCTCACCTCGCTATGGCAAAAGAAAGAGAATGGTTGAATGCGTTGTTTTTAATGGCAATTTTGTGTTTTTACTTTTGAAGAGTTGCTTTGCTCTGACTTCATGTGTGTGGACCCCTTTGAGAACATACAATGCCGAAAAGTGGGGTAAAAAATGGCAGCATATCCACGAGGTGAATGATGGAGAGTGGGGCGAAGCATCCGTCCGTCCATTCGTTCTTGCTTCTGTCTGTCCATGCGTCCGTCTGTGTGAACGTCCATGCGTCCATCCACCCGTCCGTGCGTGCGTCTGTTCGTGCGTCCGTCCCTGCGTTCGTCCATGCATCCGCGCCTGCGTCCGTTCGTGCGTCCATCGATGCATCTGTCTCTGTGTCCGTTCGTCCATCTATTCAGCACTCCAAGTAACACCACCTCGCATCTTTTCATCATATATTCTCCATATAGAAACACCGCCATCCAGCGGACATTTCAAGGACTAAACGGGAGGTGGCACATGCACACTTTCTTACGGCTTGCGCTTCGGGTTTACTTCCCACCCTTAACCACCTCGAGTTCATGGTATATACTAGTTCACTGTATTCATGGCTATGCGGCCCAACGCTCGCTAAACCTTTCTAAAACCAAGGAGGTTACACCCAGCGAGTATAACGTAGCAACCCTTTCTTGTCAGATCTTGCTCAATGTACATGCCAATAGCTGCTAATGGGGATCGCAGCGTGCGCGTTACCTAAAGGCCGAATGCTCCTGTCTCTCATTCCCCCTTAACAGCCATTAACATGTGCATTGAGCACTATCTTCTATTGTTCAACAACGCACAGAAGAAATCTCTCACCGGAACCACCTTGGAGGTCAAAATCGTAAGGACCGCTATTTCGGGTATGTGTCACTGGTGGTTACGTACTACGAGGGAGGCACAAGCCACGCCATAAGGAGCTTCGCCCCTAAAATTATCGGTGGTGTGGTACTTTTCTGAGCTTTCTCCTTTACGCCTATCTTGCGTTCCAAGAGCATGATGCCGCTGTCACCTGTATTTCTTATATTGTTATTTCAAGCCTATTGAGTTCAAATGAACACTGACGACAAATATTTTAATAAAAACAAGCAAATAAGTGTAAATTTAAGGGCTCATTTCTTTTGTTGGACGCAATAATAATGAGTACTAACAGACAATGATGGCGAGGAAAGTATAGGGGATGTTATTATAAATAATTTAAATGTAAATGTGAAGGAAAACAAAAAGTGGACAAAAAGATAACTTGCCACTGGAAGGGGCCGATTCCTGCCGATTCCTTCCAGTGGCAAGTTAGATTGGGTTAAGCATTCTCAACTACAATTTATCCCCTTCCACAGCGCAAAGCAACCAAACGCGACGGTGAGGTACCATGGCATTTTAGCTTGATGGTAAATGGAAGGGTGCGAAGATGGAAATTTTTCAAGGCTAATAACACCTCTGTTTTGTTTTGTCACTCGCACTACTTGGCACATTACATACTAGGAGCATCAGCGTGAAATCGTTCCATACAAACATGACCTAACCAATCTAGTTTGACCATTATTACAAAATATAGAAGAATAAACCGAACCGTCTCGTGAGCGCAGCTCCTCGCGGAGAGTGGCTTTCCCGCATAGACACGGAGCCCAAGATGGCGTACGTTAGCACAACACTGCTACCTAAAGGTAGCTTATAAAGTAACTGAAATCGCGCCTAATTCGGCACTGGGCTGCGGAGTGACATTAAACTTTTTTTTCATATTTCACTGGTTTTTGCAAACTGTGCTATGCATATACTAGAAACACCTCGTGGTGACCTGTTTAAAAGTTATGCCTAATAATTTAATTGTCGTACCAATAATAAAAGAAGATAATTGTACTTTATCAATTGAATGTAATGAACTGAAAAGAACATGAGCCATGTTCACAGCAAGGTTCTGGAGGACATAAACATTGCTCTTTTTCACGTTAACATATCTGGGCTTCATGATAGCTGGACACTTGTTACAACAATGCGAACGCGTACACACATAACTGCGACTGGAAGTACAGAGCTCAGTCACCGAAACATAAACGTATGCCGCAACGCAAAGTAGACATTTAAAACTGAGACATATAAGCTTTTCACCTTTGTTTTGTGCGTGGCGAAGACGGTTCGCTCAGAGAGAGAAATTTGTCACAGATGGCGCTCTCAGAGCTTCGACGATACAAGGTGAGAACACAGAGGTTGGCAAGAGCCTCGCATGCAGTTTCGTTGGCGTATTCCTAAAGCAGTAAGAAAAAAATTATTTCAAATTGCGATGAGTACGCCAAAGCGTTGGCAGTACGAGTCGTATATAACAGCCCTATCGATAGCAGGCCTCGTCCTGTGCAAAGAGCTTTTGAACGGAGCAAACAGAAAGAAACAAAAGAAAAAAAATAAAAAAGAAAGAAAGAAAGAGAGAGAGAAAAGAAAGAAAGAAGATAGAAAAGAAAGAAAGAATGAAAGAAAGAAAGAAAGAAAGAAAGAGAGAAAAGAAAGAAAGGAAGAGAGAAAACAAAGAAAGAATAAAAGAAAGAAAAAAAGAAAGAAAGAAAGAAAGAAAAGAAAGAAAGGAAGAGAGAAAACAAAGAAAGAATAAAAGAAAGAAAGAAAGAAAGAAAGAAAGAAAGAAAGAAAGAAAGAAAGAAAGAAAGAAAGAAAGAAAGAAAGAAAGAAAGAAAGAAAGAAGATAAGGAGGTGCGACACTGTTTCTTCGTACAAGATGAGAACTTAGAAAGGCCAAGTTAGCGCAATGTTTACTCACATTCTAAGCGCTATATTCGTGCAAAAATTAAACCCATCGGACGTGCAATCACACGACATGCTTGCTTACCTTACAATTGTAGAGTGAAGGCAAAAGGAGGCTTCGAAGTGCTTGTGATGAAATGCTAACACCCTGACAATGAAAACAGTGTAATTAGCTTCAAGTTTTACCAACGACTAGTTCATTAACGCTAATCTATAGAAGCGTAATAATGGCAAAAACACGAACATGGGTGTCAGTGGGTAGTTGCGAGAAAGGTACTTTCTCCCCCCTCCCACCACAACAATCACCTTACAACACGGCTTCTGCATACCCCACGACAAAATACTGTCAACGCCCATCAGCGTGAGCCCGAGCTGTACTTTTCGAGGAGTAAGTCATTGCAAACAGCAAGTGTCATACTACTTACAGCATCAAGCAGTCGTCAGTCACAATATACAAATCATCGCACATATACAGGGTGTTTCAAGAAATGTGTCCAATATTATTTTAAAATTACAGAAAGGAGGTATCTACGTGATACCTGCGATGTTCGCTTTCCTGTGGGTGTTTCAAAAAATGTGTCCAATATTATTTTTAAATTACAGAAAGGAGGAATCTACGTGATACCTGCGATGTTCGCTTTCCTGTGGCAAAAAGCATTTTCAAATTCGCATAAACATTTCTACTGCAATAATTATAGAAATTAGCACAATTAACTTGATAACTAGCGGAAATTGCCGGTCGAGTCAAATGGGCGAATGCCAGCCCTTCCTGCGAATAGCCCATTGCCACTTTAAAATTTTGGAAAGGCGGCCACTGGCAATCATCGCAGAGCAATGAATTCGGCCTAATTTACCTGGCGAAACCGCAACTGACGCACCAAACAGCGCATCTAACATTCACTTTGAAAACGCCGTCAATGACACTGTTTCCCTCACCGTTATCAACCGTTAATCTAGACACTTCGCTTCGTGGCCGCTTATCGACGCTCGCTTATTCTTCCACCCCAATGCGATGGAAACAGTGTCGTCATTGAGGGCACTTTTCAAGTGAATGGTAGATATGCGCTGTTTGGTGCGTCAGTTTCGCTTTCGCCAGCTAAATTAGACCAATTTCATTGCTCCACGATGACTATCAGTGGCCGCCTTTCCCAAATTTCAAAGTGGCTATTCATTGGCTACTGGAGGGCTGGAATTCACCCATTTGACTCAACCAGCAATTTCCACTGGTAAAAAAGTTAACTGTGTTAATTTTTATGAACTGCCGTAATTATTGTTTGTAAGCCTCTAAAGATGCCTTCTGCAACAGGAAATGTAGCGCCGCAGGTAGCGCGCAGATGCCTCGTTTCCGTAATTTTAAAATTATATTGGACAAATTTCTACACTCTAATAGCAAGAGCATCCTGTACCTGATATTTGACACTGTACAACGAATCAAGGTTGGCGTCCACCTTCCCCGCAGGAATGCAGCTGCCCGCAACGTGAAGATACTGAAATAAAAAACATCACAATCTCTCAAGGGCTTCTACATAACACCACGTTCTACTGTTTTTCATAGAGACGGTCAGCTCGAACATATTCCGCTGCAAATAACGGGAGAAAGACGGATGAGCTGCCATGGCTGCGCGTCTAAAGAGCACTGCTCGCAAAAATTGTCCAGAAAAATAGTCAGGGTGCTAATAAAATACCATTAGCATAAATTCTAATGCATAATAAAAAATAATCGAAAACAGAAAACCGTAACAATTTACTAACATGCTTTATTTGCTACATATTCTTAGCCATGACGCAAATTTCGACCTGAGTATCTTCTGAATGAAAGTGTGTTAGTTAATGTTGAAAGGCGCGCTATACCTTTACATCTGTCAGATGCGTTTGTACGACTTTGTTGCGTGGCGACTGCCGGGACGTCCGCCCTAGTCTGAATGTGAAAATAGCGTTTTCAAAATCGAATTCGACTGTCATTGTTTCAGGACACAAGCTTTAGAAGTGCCTGAAATATATAAACGGGAGTTGTCCTTAAGTAACATTGTATTCAAGTTTCTTTCAAGTGCAGAGATATTTTAAACAAACATTTTCGATTAATTAATTCCTTCGTTCATTAGTCCATTACTGCGGACTCATGGTCTAAGCAAGGTGGTAAATACGTTCATTCATAAAAATTAAAATGTTGGTTTAAACTTTTAACTCAATTTTCAGGGAGAAATTGTGACAGCGAAAGTGCATGAACTGCTTTTACAACAAACATTTGCAAATTGGTTCATCGGAAAGAAATAAAAAAAAGCTTCCTAGTTGTTCAAAACATCGTTGCCATTTGCTAGCTTCCTGGTTAGCTCAAATGGTAGAGCAATCACCCAACAAATGCGTCAGTCCCGGGTAAGATCCCCAGATCAGAGGGAATTGTTTGGCAGCTAATAGGCCTTTTTTATTTCAAAAAATCCGTATGGATTTTTTGGTGCCTTCGTTCTACAATAATGGGTGGTTATCAATATTCTCTTTCACAAGAGTAATTTGCGTCATAAGAATAGTCATAAAAATAATTGATAGCTTGAGTTTGATGATGGATCTATATAATAAGATCACTATCATCACAGTAATACTGATAAGCCTCAGCAATACAGCACTTTTCGAAGGTAGCAGCTGTTGGGTAATATTAACACTGGTGCAACTCTTGCATGGTTACGATGACGTTTAGCATATTTATCACCAGGACAAAAGACTGTGCTGATGAGAGTGAAACTGATAGCCTTTGTAAAAAACGTTATGGAAGAAGCCTTTTGATAGTGTAACTGTGCTTCTTGTGTGTTTTATATTGTATTTCCTGTGCACTTCCTCCATTGCAGAAGCCTCCTTCTTTATTATTCAATCCTGTGAAACTACAGTACCTTGTCGAGTGGACATGAACACACGCTCCCATTGGCGACCAAAAATTCTTCTGGGCAGGTCACACATCTGCGCAGAAAAAAAAACGTCACATTCAAATTTAATAGCACGGGTCTTACAGCAACCACGTGCCTTACCTCTGGCTTTGCGGGTTAGGCCACGTCCCACTAGTGCAGGTGGTGCATGTCAGCCTTCTGACTCCATCACTGCCAGTCACTTCCTCTGACATATGGGATAAAATGAGATGTTCACTGGCAGATAACTGTTTAATCGTATCTCAGCATGTAAAGTAATTGTGGGAACAAAAAAATAAAGTTAACTAGAAGTACAGACAGACCTTAACAACATTTATTCATCTTCCAAGCCTGTTTTTCTCGCCATCTCTTCATCTATAGAGCGTTGGTAAAGAGAATCACTGTGGACATCCTTCATTAAAGGGCCTCTCTCAAGTCAAAACAGTTTGCATGATGCTATTATCCAGTATACGAAACACGTGATCTCACGGTAGTCAGCGTCTTTTAAATTATTGTTACCGTATACTCCGTCTACGCAGGTGCTGCAGCTGTTGGTGGTCAGCTGAAAGGGTGCGTTCTCCGCACACGGAATACATTCCCAGCCGTCTAGGGATGTCACCTGAAATCAAATCGCGAATAAACCTCTAAGCCCCGTAATATCATTCATGCGTGCATAAACGGGACCGATGCATGCCGCCAGCATGGCAAAGCTGGCGTCATGATAAAGATGAAGACTTGCGTGTTCGCGAGGGCATGAAGCACATGACACTTTTGTGGCACTTTCCCGAGAGGTGATCTTGTGCTGGTGAATACATTGGCACGACGAACCTGTAAGCAATCAGGAAAGTCATATCGATTTCACTTTTGGAGAAAGGCTATACTATAGTACATTGCTTCCATCAAGAAAATAACCAGAGGGTTATATGGAACCAGCTTAAAGGGGTCCTGAAACACTTTTTCAAATAACCATGGAATGAATTCACTGGAACAGCTTACTGCCTCACGAATTCAACGGCGTGAAATTTTTAAGAATCCGTTCAGTGCGAGTGGAGTTAAGACGATTTGTCGCATACTGCAATTGCATTCTCTATTCTGTCGTCCCGACGAACGCCCTAGAAGCTAAACGGAGAGGGATGGCAGGGCCACAGAAAAACGCCACGCGCGCTTTGTGGCCTTGAGCACTTTTTTTCTTTTTTTCTTCGAATGCGCGGCTTTTTTTTTTTTAAGCCATCGCGCACGCACGCGTGGACAAGTAGCGGCCTCCCACGGCGATCTCTGTAACGAGTGAACGCGCCACGTTCAATTCAGCCAATGACTGATCCATGGACTTACTACCAGTGATTTTTTACTTTATTCTGCGATTTATCGAGAAAGGAGTAAGCAATTTTTAGCTGAATTTGATAATTCATTGTGAATTCTAAGCCGGGTGCTGTGCTCTAATATATCGCTCACGTGTTGTCGGGAGCCTCATTATACTACCGATCGGTAGCGTTTTCTGACCACGCTCAAACAGTTTTGCAGGGCCCCTTTAAGCAAAAACTCCACCCATAGAAACCCGGTTTTTCAAATTTTCAGATATAACGAAGAAATTTTCATCTCACGCAAGTTATACCATGGGTCGATGTTGTCATCAACTCGAATGATCAATGTTATTAGACAGTTATAGAATACCGGGCTTACCGGGCGTACTGGGATAGCGGGATCGATAGCGGGATGCGCAGATACGTACGTTACCCATACCACTTACGGTACGCACGCTATTTTTCAGATTTAGCGTTACCGTGTCAGCGTGGTTTATGTAGTGTGCGTAAAACATGGCGGTGGTTTCATTCACCCGTTTGAAAGCGATTTTGGCGTGGTTGTTGGAAGATTCACATCGTTCGCAGCAAAAGACTGTTTAAAATGACTTCGCTTGCCTTCAGTTAGCTTCGATGACCAAGTATTATGGATAAGTTAGCGTAGTTTTTGGGATAGTTTCACGTTTCGGACGTGTCTAGGCCTAACTACAAGATCGATGTAAACAAATCGGCAACATAAATGTTTTCGGGTTTGGTGTGAGGTTCATAATAATTTACTTTTATTAATTTTAAAATAAACTTGAAACAATGCTTCGCGTGGTGACACAGGCAGTCATCCTCGTTTTCTTTTCCTTTTCAATGTTCTTACTTCTCAACCCTCCAATAGGTGGCGCCACCATCCGAGCTGAGGCCCATAAAGCACGTAAACGCTATCTCCCTAAACATTAAGACGGTGTCCGCAACGAACGTTTGCTGCACGGTAACGCCATTCGCATAACCTCCGCTATCACGCTAACGGTAAACTGTCTATTGTGACTCTAAATCTGGTTTAGCGATGTATTCCTCGAAATAAATGTGCGAAAATGCAGCCTTTTCTTTCTAATGTTGGCTTAGATAGCTTTCTCTTTGGACGCCCGCCAAAGTTCAAACATCCCAGTGACGTATTCAGAGGGGAGGGGTGGTAAGGAAGATACCAGAGCCTGTGTGAGCATCCCCCCTCACTTAAGTGCTTGTAGTCCACCTCCTATCAACGATTACGACTATTAAGTGAAAGCACTATGAGCACACATAAACAGTACCTATGCTATGAAGCAGCTTTTCTGCTAGCACAAACAAAAAGTCAATACCACGCCCCCATCTCTATGGCTACTTCAAACGACCCCCCCCCCCCCCCCCCCCCATAAAAGTAGTGGATGAATCTACCCCTGAAACATCCAGCCACCGTAGTGTCAAAAAATGGCGAAAAAGTGGCGCATCGCTATTGCTTTACGCATGTGTTCTGCAGTCCGAGCATTGATTTTTAGTTTCGAGCTGACTATTGACACAAATCTTCTGTGAAAAGTAAGAGTGCTCGTTGTGTCATTCTGTGCATGTATTACATAAGAGATGGACGGTGGCTTTAAATCGTCGGAAAATGAAGGGTTTCGCTTCTGCTAGTCTTGAGTGGCATGCAGACTTCAAGAAGTGCTACGAGCAGTCATGAGTGTAACGTTATATACTCACTGATGACGCTTTGCAAAGGAAATGATTCTGAGTGCCCAATCAGGTAAATGGGCACATAAGACTTCATTGTGTTGTCCCTCCTGCTGTACTGAATTTCTACCAAACTGAAGGACCCTAACGCTGAAATGTTGACAATTTTCGCTACGAAAGCAGCAATAGTTCGCAGTAGCTCAAAATTAGGCTCAAACGTATCAAATCGTATGAAATGTACACGGACCCCCTGTGGCATCGCAGTAACGCCGTGGCCAAAGGCCAGCAGCAGCGTCAACTATGCCCTAAATTCATTTACTGCGACATCAGCCGTTCCAAAAGCGGGCAACGCGATAGTATGACCTTCAAAACTGCATGCACAGCCACATCTCACTAAGCACCGCTGCGGTGACATGAGTTTGATCCCAGACCACGATGACCCCACCTGGGTGGGGGTGGGGGGGGTGACAAGTGCATCATATGGGTACACCTTCAAAAACTTCAGGTCGTCGATATGAATTCGGAGTCCCCCTAAGTGAAAACTTCCCCCACCTCCACAAAGCGAATCGTGAGGAAATGCGAATGCATTTCTTGCGCCGAGAGTACATGGCGTAGTAATTTTAACGGTGTAAATTAATAATGAGACGAGGGTTTGTGCCATAAACAATTAGTTACACATTCATCAGCCAGCGAACGGTCAAGAGTGAGGCGCGCTTCACTTAATAATTAACTTGAGCCCACATAACTTGAGGCAGAAATTTGAAAATGAAAGACACTTCAATGGTGAATTGAACCAAACGTGTACTACTCGAACTAGCCTGTAGGTACTCAGGCTATTTTTTTATTTCTCCGCATACTAATTAATTAATAACTTTAGTTGCCTGTTTTTATTTATGGGCTGGCAACCCAACATATGAATATTGAGATTTAGAGCTCTTTCAGAAACCACGGACAAAATTGTTTCCTGTACGATACGTCTAGCGCTGTTACTTTTTCGGCGTTGTAAAGAAAGCCTATAGCAGCACTATAGCAGTGCACTCGCGGTCCGTCACGCGGCTTCTTTTCACGTTTCGCGGGCTTTCTTTACAACGTGAAAAAAAAAAAAACAAAAAACAGCGCGAGACGTATCGTACAGGAAACAATTTAGTCGGTGGCTTCTGAAAGTGCTCTACATCTCAGTGTTCATATACTGGGTTTCCAGCCCATAATAAAAAATAGGCAATTAGGAATTATTATTTATTAGTATGGTGAAAAATAAAAAATAGACTGAGTACCTACTGGCTAATGCGAGTCGTATGTATTTGGTTCAATTCGCCTCCTAAGTGCCTTTCACCTTCAAATTCTGGGCTCAAGCTATATAGGACTCCCTGTATATACATACGAGCGAGCGGATGGGAGAGTGACACGCAGGAGAAAGAGCAAACGGCGAGAGAAAGAGCGGCGACGCACTGCACCCACCCTCTCCTACACTCTCTCCACACACGCGAGAGCTCCGGCGATGCGTGCGCACTCCTCTCCACTCACTCTCCGCCCACACCACCTGCTCAGATGTCTAGGGGCGAGGATAAGCGCGCGCGCCGCTGCTTTTGCTATAGGAGAGGGAGTGAGAGCGGAGAGATAACACCTGCCGGCGCGCGGACACCGACCGACGCCTGAAATATCGCGACTAAGAAATTCAATCACATTTAAAACCAAAGACTTCAATTATTCTCTTTCGAAATAGGCTTCCAATCCCACTGCGACACACGTAAAAGGTTGGCGTAAAAATGAGGGATTCACCAAAAACGTGATAAGCTGATCAGCCTCACCTATCCTTGCATAGAGCGCCAATCAGAATAAGTTTATAAAAATGGGTAGTGCGGCGCCAACTTAATGTCACACTATTACATCATATAAGAGTTAGATGGTCAAGCACAATTCGCTCGACGCAGCGCTCGTATTCAAACAAATGAATTAAATATATTGCACTAATTTGACCAGTTTAAATGTGGAAAGATGAATCGCTTTCTCTTTTGTGACAAATGCTGTACTATATGTCCGGGCAGATAATTCATCTGGGGCGCCATGTTTACAGCAAGTATTGCAGGCTTTTTATAATTGCTCTAAATAAATACACACACATCTACGCATGCCCAGGTTTGCATATGACGCGGGTGAAGCTTCAAGAGGAGCCTCGCGACGACAGCATGAGGAGAAATACCGCAAAGCAAAGCCAGTGGGCATGGCGTAGCCAGGGGGTGGCACACAGAACCCGTGCCCCCCCCTCCTCTCCCGAAAAAAGTTTCTGCCTACGCCCCAGCCAGTGGGAGATTTCAGTGGCATTTGCTGCCTTCATGCATTGTCTTGTCATTGTCGTTTTTCCACACTCGAAATATAGATCACCGACTGCCAAGTAACCAACTTCGATATTTCGTCATGCTCTTAACAGCTGTTGCAGTAAAGTAGAGCTGTAACTAGTGTAGAAATCGCTTAATTTTTTTTTCTGCTCCGCACACTTTTTGTGCCTGACCACGTATGGAAGCAAGAGCTGACATAAAAAATAAAATAAAAAAACATCCAGTCGAAACAGTGTATTGTTACTGATCAAAGCTGGGCAGTGTGATAGTACCTAAGAGGTATTGAGTATCTGTATTTCTGTATAAAGATATACTTGAAAAGTGTATTTGTATTTCAGTAGTGCGATACCTTTAAGATGTATTGATTACATCACAATTTCGTTACTTCTTTTTCGGAAATGAAACGAGGGGGAAAGGACACCTTTTATACGCCAAGCAAAGGCACGCCACTAGTCGCCGACATGGGGGGGGGAAGCTGAGAATGGTTTCCTACAGGCGCAGTGGTAAAGTGACTGACGCTTCAACAGCAGAATCGCGGAGGCAGTGTACTGCCATGTTCCACTAACGAAAGTCACAGTTTTTTTGGGGCAGTAAGTCATTTTGTGTGCGTTGTGTTGAGGCCGAACCATCGTTTTCTAAATGACAGCCTATTTGATAATATAATTATATCTGGGGTTCAACGTCTTAAACCCGCCATATGACTATGAGAGACGCCGTAGTGGAAGGCTCTGAAAATTTCGACCTCCTGGGCTTCTTTAACGTTCTTTAACAGCCAATCTGAGAAGGTACTGTCACTCAAGGGCACTCAACGCAATGTCCATCTCACCAATGAAGATCTTGTGTCTACAATAAATGCATACTTTTTTCATAATTTGCTCTTAGGTTTCATTAACATTGTGTCTTACAAAGAAAACGAGCCTTTAAATGTATGCTTCTTTCTTTCATTTATAGCAACCTGCCCTGCAACCTGCTCCATTCATAGCAACCTGCCAGGTTCCTGCCTGCGGCAAGTTACCCTTCCACCCACTTTTCTTTCTACACTTTTACATTACAATTGGTCTAATAACTTCCTCTATACTTATACTTTTCTTGGCATTATTGTCTGTTAGATCTCATTAATAATGTGTGAAAAAACATGTAAAAACGAGCCCTTAAGTATACACTTCTTTTCCTTATATATATATATATATATATATATATATATATATATATATATATATATATATAACACTGGGGCAAAGGCAAGGAAAACCTCGCTTTAGTGTAGACGTATGTGTGGGACAGAGTCGGTAATGATTTCATAAAGAACATTTAAAGCTCTCAGGGTAACAATAAGGCCACTTCGTGTTCTGGAAAATATGCAGAATTTCAAGAAAAGTTACTGACATTTACCTCCACAACGGTGAACTTTTTTTCAGACGTGCAATGAACTAGATCTCGTAAAGAATATCACTCAGGTTTTATTGACAAGCTGTGTGATTCTTTGAGCCAGCAATCCATAACGTAAACTGCTTGAAAAGCACAGCGCATTTTAGAAATCCGAGGGAAACAAAAGAAGTCACGGGGAGGAGAAGACAGGGCAACAATCAACCCGTCTTTTTTTTAGGGGGCTATGAAGACCAATGTTCAGCGCCTTCAGAATGTTGCAAGGCCTTTCAGTCACTGTGGCGTCCACAAAACCATGCGTGCGAATAAGAAGTCAACACCAATACAAGGCGAGTAATTCTCCACGCGTATTCTCACACAAATAGCATGTTCAGCGTAAAAATAAAGAAATAGAAGAAGTAGCAAAAACAAATTGGTCAGAAATTTTTAATAGCTGCAAGCAATCACATTTACCTGCAACATCGTACACGCTTGTCTCGACAAAAACATGAAACAGAAGTGGCAAAAAAAAAAAAAAAAGTGCGATGTGATGCGGTGTTGTTGAGCGCCAGGGTGATCTGCATACTAGCATGCATGATGCAATGCGACGGCTGTTTAGCGGCCTGTTCGCAGCATTCTCAGACAGGTGCGAAAACCGAATGAACGGTTGCAGAGAGTCAGGAGCTTTACAAACCATCTTTCGACGCTACTTGCACACGTTCCTGTCCCCTGTTGGCGCCACATTTAACGCATGTGAGCGCGACAATGTCGAAATAGCTCGAGTTGTCGCACTCGCTAGGCGTGAAGTAAGTACTCAAATACCGTGAATCAATGACACCTATGACGGCCCACACAGAAATTAAGAACAGCATATCCTCAAGTCACACACATCCAACTTGAAAGACGACGCATTTCTTTTTTCAACACAGCCGTACGCAGCTCCCCAGTATCCCAAGTATGCTTTTAGTTGACAGTCAACTATGCCGTTATCAACCGTTGCTATGCACATGGTGGCTAAACGGCTTCAACACTTAGAAGTGTGGCAGCTTGGGCTAGTTGGTATGGCATGACGATAGTTATAGCGCGAAAACAAAATGACGACACATAGACAAGAAAGGTACGAAAGACACAAACGCTCGTGTCTTTTGTGTCTTTCTTGTCTCTGTGTCGCCGTTTTGTTTTGGCACTATAACTATCGGCTTCAACACGTTTCCTTCCTCTGTGGGCTTCAATAACTATGACGTCACTTTTTATGTAATCAAATCACAAGAACATCAACGCTTCTTTAATCTAAAAAACATATAATTGATGTGTTTGAGTTTTTATTTTTATTAACACTGATGTTGAACAGTCAATAATGCTTGCATCGTGGCCCGAATACAGAGTTATAGCTATTTCTAGCCAAGCACAGACAAAGCCAACATTTTTTTGAGCGTGGCGGCGCCGTGCTATCGCACAAAGATTGCGAAGCAAACTGAACCGTGCCTGATTGTTGATCAATATAGCAGGCAGCATGACTATAGCGATCGGCTTTGAAGGGAGTGCAAACAAGTTGGGAGTTGGTATAATGCGCGATGGCGAAGTTCTGTCGAATCCACGAGTAACTTACATTACTCCTCCAGGCGAAGGTGTGTTTACCTTATTGACATGAAACTTCTTTTTTTTTTTTTTTTTTTTTCAGGAGCGAAGCTCCTTAGGCTCTCTCGATGTCCGTTGACGCCGTTGTATTAGCTTCCCGTTGGACCGAAGCACAGGTGTTACATATACCGTACGTGGAGTTCATAGCGCGTACTCTGCCCGTACATCTGTATGTCCGTCCTTGCGTTCATCCGTCCGTGCATCTATCCGTTCATTTGTTTGTTCTTAATACCTGTCAGTGGCTTCAACGTAGTCATTATACACCTCAGGACCTAGTTTTGCTCTGTCATCAGCACTCGCTTCATGAATCTGCAGTATTTTTTTTTTATTAGCAAAGAGCATGTCAGCTGTGCCACCTGTTGCCGTGTCCAAATACATTCTATAATTTGTCGTAATGTCAATCGCACATCAGGTGCGAATGACGTTACTGGTGTGAATTCAATGTCGACTAATGTCAATAGCTTTCTGAAACCTGATGCCCTAAAATCACGTTATGCCGATCACCCGCTGTTCAAGTCATCTCCACTGTCTAACTGTTGTGATTCCCCAGGGTTCCAGCCAAGAGACACTGCTCTGCACCACCGAGCACACATTTTAGATGTTCTTGAAAAGGCACTGCAAGAGGCTAGCATCACGCCAAAAGAAATCGACGTCGTGTGCTACACTAAAGGCAAGTTACTAGCACTCGCACATTTCAATCTTTGTACATTGTGGCACAGAGAGGGAGAGCACAAACTATATTTGGTGGTGGTGGTAGTGGTTAGAAGAGGGGAAAGGCACCTAATTTCTGCAGCCCGGTCGGGATCACGGCGCAGTGCCTATATATGTCAGAACGCCACAGTGTTCATGTTTTTTCTCTCTCTCTTTCTCTTCTAAGGACCTGGTATGGGAGCTCCTTTGGTATCTGTTGCCGTGGTTGCAAGAACAATCGCGCAGCTATGGAACAAGCCAATCATAGGTGTCAACCACTGCATTGGTCGTATCCTTGCACCATTATTCAAATGATGCTGATCAACATTATGTGGCAGAGAGGTGCCGTTTTTAGAAGGTTAATTCTTATCACCTGATTGCACGTCATTTGTATACTGTCTCCTTCTAGCCCCATCATTTGCTTTCTTGACAATACCTTCAAGACATTGAAATGGGGCGCCTAATCACTGGAGCTTCCAACCCAACTGTACTATATGTCAGTGGCGGCAACACTCAGGTAAATGATTTGACTTGTCAGTATTTGTAAACATCTCGTTGTTTACACTTTTTTTTACCAGACACGCAAGATTAAGTTATTAAGATATGGTCATCTCACCTTGCCTCTCGAGCAAGTTTGGTGTCTTTACACCTTGTAGATGCAAAGAGGCCAAACTTGTTTCAGAGATGTAGTTCAGAACTAAGAAGCTTAATTATGACTTGGTATTTTGGGAGTGCATCATACAATAAATTATTAACTGTGTTTGTTACCTTTTATATCTTAAAATGTTTAATTGTAACATACTGTGACAGGGAAAACATATTACATGTACACACTCAATAAATTAATTGGCTTACAAAATGGAACCCAGCTTGCAGGGTCTGTCAACATCTTTCTTGTCCTCTTCGTCATCTTTTTTTCAGCCCAATACATTATTTTCGGGCAGCTGGAGCACCAACTCGGTGCTAATTAAGAGGCAGTCGAGTCTATATATCTATGGCTTGTGCCGCGTAACATGCACTATGTTAGTGCGAGAGTGAAAGACTGTGTCATTGTGGGTGATTTCATTGGTGACGTAAGTCACTTGGTGTAAGATGTGGTAAGCGCTGATAAACCGTGAAAGTAACTTCTTTGGATGTCCAAGGCAGCGCGAGAAGGACCAAAGCAGAACCAGATTACTGGTCGCGTAGTGGATGCCATGATGGCAGGCCTCACATGTGCACCTCTGTTTGTCCTGCATGCAAGTCCACTAGACAGCGTCGAGCAACTTGACGTGCCTCTTGGGCCTTTGTTATTGTCTCTCAAGTGTACTTCGTCGTATAAGCATACTCCGATGTCTGCATGGCAGGAGTGTGTCGAAAGGTAGCGTTGGGTTATGGCCGAACAAAATAAAAAATGTAAAGAACCTAGCGGTATCATGTCGCGAAAAATTAAAGCAAGTGTGAGAATATATTTAGCTTACCATTTACTTAATTAGATGAAGGTACTAATACAGTAGAATCTCACTGGTATAATTTTGCATGATATGTATTTCAAGATAATTATTTTCTCTTGGCTACCCCTCCTAGGAGTAATGTATATTGATACAGTTATTGTGATCGTATTTTCACGAGAAATTGTAGAACACGGCAGCAAGAGTGGGCTTTTACTGGTATTTCCTAAAATTCATAGCTTCATGTTTTGGGATACTAGGTTAGACAACATTCTAATAACCACAAACGATGTGTTACTTGCCCGCAGCTACCCAGATTCTGCAGTACCAGTACATAAAAACCAATATTGGGAGAGGTTGAAGAGGCACTTTTGCACAGCCAGTTTGAAATGTCACGCAAACCTTCACTATTGTATTTGTTGCTGAGGATGCCTATTTTTGTACTTCGTGCAGCTTGCTTTAGATAACAGGATTTTAAGGTAATATGTTTTACCTTCTGGTTCCTATGAACATTGTGTAAACAATATTCAAGTCTACCTCTAACTGCTAGAAAAAGATACTAGCCTTCAAAAATAATGCACTCAAAGTAATTTTAAAGATTTTCTAGAGACAATTTCAATTTTTATTCTGAGAAGCTTTTGTCATATGACACCAAAGAGAAAAAATGGTAGGGAAGGAAAGGCAAGGACGTTAATAAGGCTAGGACAACCAGTTTGCTACCCTACCGATGGGAACAGGATAGGGGAGATTGAAAGATTGAAGAAAGAGAGAGAAAGACAGTACACTTAGAGTCAATCACTGTCCCTCGTGCGTGGTACACATCACTGTCACAGTCAACAAAGCTCCAGAGGTCTCATGGTAGTTGGATTATATTTACTAGCCACTTTCATTCTACTTGTCGTGAGGGATGGTTTAGTAGCATAGCACATAATTAAGAGAGCCAGAGTAAGTCTCAAACACTTCACTGTCCTGCTCCCCTGTGATCATCTTCTGCCACATGACATCAATCATTGAAACTATGGAAAATGAAACCTAAACTAGCCTTAGATAAAAAGCTACTCTAGCGTAATGAAGAGAGCTCAAGAACCGCCGTTGTCATTATGCTGCTGAGAAGGATAGGTTGCAAAGTCTTGGCACTATAGCTTGCAAGCTTGAGCGGAAAGGCTTTGTTCGTAACTTTGCATTGCTGGGATTACTGCCAACATATAATAAGCTTTGTAGCATTCTGGTAGAGGTGCGGTAGAGGTGCTCGGCTGGTGTGATAGCATTGTCAACATCTTAACAACAGACAAAGTTTGGAAGCTAGTGGTTACTTAAGCACATATTACAAAAGCAACACAAAGGCTATGACTGTAGCACACGTGTGTGTCGGCTGCTGACCCAAAAGTTGTGAATTAGATCCCGGCCATGGGGGTCACATTTCGATGCAGGTAAAATGCTTGAGGCCCATGTACTGTGCAATGTCAGTGCATATTACAGAGCACCAAAGAGCTTAATTCAAAAAGCCCTCTACTGTGGCATCCTTTATAATCATATCATGGAATATAAACCCCAGATTGTAAGCATAATAGGGTGTTACGGCCAGCAGAATCACGTCCCAGTTAGGATGGGTGGACGTAATGTATATGATGAGGATTTCAGTTGTAAGAACTTAAGAAGCTTCGAGGATTACAAACAATGTGTGCGGGGTTCAGAGTTTCAGTCATTAATTTAATGCACAAGAAAAAAAAAAGAGTTCAGGGTGCCATGTTTGTACAACTTTAGTACGATGTCATTACTTGGATTTTTAACATTGTTCATTACAACATTGCCTGTCACCCCCTTCCATAAATCCAGTGCTATCTTAGTGTCCTTTACAGGCCACTCTACTCACTTTGAGCTTTGTTCTCACTTTGAAAGATAAATTACTTCATGACATAAATCGGGCAATCAATGAGTATTTTAAATGGCCACTTTTGTGAAAACCAAGAAGTGACACTACTAAATTCTGGATTTATTATTTAAAACAAGCTTGATGTCTTGATATGAGCACGAAGATTCTTGTGATGGCTGGCACTCATTGAATGGTAACTTTTCTGCAAAAGCTCTCTATGTTCATGCCCCCATTCTCACTTAAGCTTTGTTTGAAAGGTATGACATTATGATTAGCAGTGTGCAACTTGAAATATCTAGAGTTCTGTATGTGCTTACAGGTTTATGCTTGAAAAATGATTAACATCTTACATTCTCCCTTCAAAAATTGTTTTGTCTTTTGTTTAATGCCTACTTACAGCATGTCTTCTGAAATGTTTCTGTTAACAGTGTACTGACAGTTTAAGATCTCTGAAGTTCCAAGTTTTTTTTTTTTTCCTTAGGTAATAGCATACAGTGAGAAGCGCTACAGGATTTTTGGAGAGACTATTGACATTGCTGTTGGGAATTGCCTAGACAGGTTTGCAAGAGTTCTGAAAGTAAGTCAGAGAAGTGGCTCACTAGATTTTTGTGCATACAGTAAGACATTTGATACCGTTTTGCATGTGACAGCAGCAGCTTTTCTTCTGTGTCAGTCATTTGCTCGCAATAATAAAACAAATTTTACAGCTCTCAAATGATCCAAGTCCAGGCTACAACATAGAGCAAATGGCAAAAAAGTATGGCATAAGACACAACTGCATTGTGTGCAGGAATATGAACTTTATTTTTCTTTTGCTGCAGGGGCACTAAATTGATTCCACTCCCTTACGTTGTCAAAGGCATGGATGTCTCATTTTCAGGAGTGCTTTCCTTCATTGAGGTTGGTTAGTTATGTTTCCTTCATTTCTTTTTGAACCATCCTACAGTTTACACTAATCTATAGTGTCAAGTTTACAGGCCACAAGAAGGATACAAACACTGTATACTCAATTTCAGGAAAAGGCAGAGTCCCTTTTAAGTGAAGGCCAGTGCACAGCTGAAGACCTGTGTTTCTCTTTACAAGAGACTGTATTTGCAATGCTTGTTGAAACAACAGGTAAATGTGACCAACAAAGGCATTGTTTTGGAGCATATCTCTCTAACGCGTTTTTTTTTTATGCACAATGTGGTTTGGATGGTTTTTTTCTTTTCTAGAAAGGGCTATGGCTCACACTGGTTCCGATGAAGTACTCATTGTTGGTGGAGTTGGCTGTAAGCACATATTTTGGTCTCTGTGACTCATTACTACTGTTGTTTTGATACCTTATATTACATTTATTGACTACCAGATAGCAATTTCATGCAACACATGCCTATATGGCCTTGAGAGATGTGGCTCAGACATGTGGGAGGATTTTTTCATCTTAAAAGGGCAGTAAGGTTACTTTGCAACCCAGAGTGATATACCTGTGGTCTTCTTGGCTTCTTTTCTAAATTATTGTTATACCATCTGTATTTTCACTTTTTTTGAAGCTATACAGCTTTTGTTTGTCACTTGGCGATGTGCTTATTTGTGTACAGTGCTCACACATTCAAATGCAATATCAAATGCTTTAGTATAACACATGCTATGCTTGATTGCTCGAAATAACCACGTCATGTTGCAAAGATTTTGTTCTCTAAAGATAATGCTGGCTCTGGTCTACACATTAGAATTGAAATTACACCAATATGACCTGAACTTAAAATGGCGGAAACAAAAATATGTGTCTTAGTTTGCCCCAAATTGTCTCATTTCACTGTGTGAGTACTGTACGTTATAGTATCCTATGTCATGTAACTGCGGCTCTCATTCTACTGTGGGTGTCTCATTGAAAGGCTGTTTGTCCAATATGTTACACCTCATGGTATTGATTTTGTCAGGAGGAATGCAGCATTTCCCTTTGTGGCACATCTTGCAGGCATGTCAACATCTCTGAAGAAATTCTGAGATTTCAGAAATAAGTTATTAGTTAAAAATTTATTTTGCTAGTTTATTCTAATAAGTAAACAATGATGAGCCAGCAATTTTTTTCTAGGGAAAGGGAGGACATTTTAAAAAGGCACTGATGTGAAAAGTGTTTTTTTATAGTTATTAAAATTACCATCTTTATACCAAAAACACCAGGCCTGCTGTGAGAAAATGTTCAAAAAAAAGCGTGTGGTGATCGGTTTTCCCTCAGTGACCGCGACGTCGTAGATTTTCACCGCTTCTTCTAGGACACACATTGTTTCTAACCAATAGAAATTAAGTACATTGTCTTTTCAGGGATCCAGAGACTTAGCATGCCAAGTTTGAAAAGATTCCATTAAGGCAAAGTTACCAAAATATGATAAAAACAGATTACAAAGCGTAATGTCACAATAGGTAATTTTGACTGTATATTTCAAGATGAACATTTGACCTTCATTTCCTCTGTAATAGATCTGTGATGCTGAAATTAGCCACACTAAAGTTTTCAGAGTCTAATTTATCTGTCATTGTTTCACGTTAGTGATCCTTCAACATGCACACTAAGCATGACAGACAAATATTTGAAATCGGCTTTCATTGGTATGCAACCTCAAAGGCTGGGATCTTATCCCGTAAACCCTTGCTTATGGTGCATTCAGACGACGGACCGAATCCGGATGTGGTGGGACGGACGACGCGTCACGTGACCTCACATCAGCAATTCCCCTCGTCCGCGACTCATCCGCGCGGCTTGCGAACGGGTGACCCCAACCTGTTTCTCACATAGGGATTGTGGCGGGAGAAAGTGGATACTTTAGCGGATTAGCTCTGGGTTTCTGGCAACCAGTACACTTTTTGTCTGCTTGTGGCATGTCCTCCATGGCTCGCGGACAGCTGCATGACTGGTCGGCATCATATACGCTTGAGCATGGTTTGCTTAGTTTTCAGGCGGCTTTGTTCTCAGGTGAATAAATGTGCATAAATCACTTTTAGTGGTTCGGGAAATGTCGCCGCCGTCGTTTGACACGTGAGATTTTTTAGCTCATGGTGGTGAAATATTCGAACTTCTGCAACCAGTGATGTGGCGCTTCTAAAAAAAGATGAGAGAGGCATTCAGAAGTTATACAAGTGGGGAACAATGTAGTTGGAAGAATATTCTGCCAGCAACTCCCTTTTCTCCTGAAAGAATAACACTCCTCGTTCATTTGTCACAATGCGACAGACATCGCAGCCAAGCGTCGCTTCTCCCGCCCCGCCGCGGTGGTCTAGTGGCTAAGGTACTTGGCTGCTGACCCGCAGGTCGCGCGTTCAAATCCCGGCTGCGGCGGCTGCATTTCCGATGGAGGCGGAAATGTTGTAGACTTGTGTACTCAGATTTGGGTGCACGTTAAAGAACCCCAGGTGGTCAAAATTTCCGGAGCCCTCCACTACGGCGTCTCTCATAATCATATGGTGGTTTTGGGACGTTAAACTCCGCAAATCCTATCCAAGCGTCGCTTCTTGTAGGCATCCATGTTGATACTCTCAAACCGGTCTGCTGCCAGCGGGCGTAGGTCAGCGCCGAATCTCCTGTTGAGGGTAATCCGGCCGTTTTCTCCTGGGACACCGTCCGTCGTGTGGATGCGCCTGCAGGCGGATCATCCGCGGATTAGCCCTCCGCGTCCAAGACAAATTCGGATTCGGTACATTGTTTGAATGCACCATTAACAGTGCTGTGATGTGGCGAACATTTGAACATGTCAATGTAAAACACGTGACAGAGGTGTTGGGAAATGTTGGTAATCAATAACATTGCTTCTTTCAATTAATGTTTGCTTGTTTATTTTAATAAAAGGTCTCTAAATTATGTGCTGAAGTATTTCGAAGAGAGGTGAATGTGCTGTGTCAACCGTTGAGTCAAGGGTAATAAATTGGGTCAAGGTGGGATAATGTGGCCAGCACATGCTATCTTTGAGGAAAAAAAAAGAAATTCCAGCCGATCCTGTCCATTGTGAGAATCAATATCATATGGAGTAGTCTGTGAGCACTAGGAATTTTCACTTTGAGACTACTGCAATGAGACAGGTGGACATTTTCAAGAAAATTTTGTGGTTGTGTGCATATTGTAGGCTTGCCAACCATATCAACTACACTGGCGTGTGAGTCCACCACAATAGTTTAGTGGTTACGGTGCTCCCCTGCTGATCCAAGGGTGATGGCTTCAATCCCAACTTTGGCAGTTGGATTTCACTGGAGGCAAAATGGTAGAGGCCTATGTACTGTGCTCTGTCAGTGCACTTTAAAGGGGCCCTGGAACATTTTTCAAGACCTCATTGTTTTACATGCTTTACTAGCAGATCATATTGCAACGAAGATGCGCGAGCCTACGGGGCGCGGAAGAAGAAGAAGAGTAGTGGAGCGGCGCTTGGACTGTGTGGTTGGGTGAAGCGGACTAGGCCTGTCACAGAAGTATGCTGCCCTTTTTCAACGCCATTTCACCTCATCTGCAAATAAATGCAATCACTCGTAACAGTTTGGTGGAAGGTGCCGGGTACATCAATCTGGGCGATCCAGCTCTACCGATTTTGCGACGGAGCAGACGCTTGGCAGGCTTGCCACCACAGCTACCAGACATGGGAGGACGCGGGAGCAGGCCATAACAGCCTCGTTGCTGATGAGCAACACGCTCACCCGCCAGGACAAGCTCGCTGTGGCACGCCGGAACGTCAACCGAGGACCTTTTCAGGGCAGCTGGATGACGATGTTGAGGACTGGCTCAAGCACTACTAAAGAGTGAGTCGCAGCAACCGGTGGAGCACTGCTAAGCAGCTCGATAACGTGGTGTTTTTTCTCGTCGGCACCACGTCTCTTTGGTTGGTCAACCACGAGAGTGCATTGACCACATGGGACATTTTTGTGGACGAGCTCAAGAGGTGTTTTGGTGACTCAACAGCTAAGGTCAAGCAGGCGGAGCAAACGCTTTCACGCAGAGCTCAGTTACCTTGCAAAACATGCACCACCTACATCGAGGCCGTCTTGAAGCTTTGCGGAATCGGGAGTGCAACCATGTCTGATGAAAATAAAGTAGGTCATGGCTCAAGGGAATCGGTGGGCTCAAGGGAATCGCGGAAGACGTGTACAATTTTCTTATCATTAAGGAAGACCTACATACACCTTCGGACCTGAAGAGACACTGCCGAGCGTTTGAAGCGCTAAAAAGGAGGAGAGTCCTACAGAAGTTTGAACGTCTTTACAATGTGCCCACGATTGCAAGTGTCAACCTTCCATCGCAGGACGACATCTTTTCTCTTATAAGACAAGCGGTTAAGGAAGAACTTGCTCAACTGCAAGCTGTGGACACCGCCGGTCTGCCATCAGTGTGCATTCGACCAACGGCCCTGTGAACCACTGGTACCTCGGATGCGTCAGAGCTACTTTGAGCCTCGCCCGAATTACACCGATCGGTTCGAACTAACGAGTGAATGGCCACTCGAAAACCAGGAACGCAGGCAAGCTGCATCACGGTGACTTACTCCTCGGCCACCATTGCCCAACTTTAATCAACCGACGAGGTCTACTTCGCCGGGGACGACTAGACACGACACCCGTACTTGCTACAACTGCGGGCTAACTGGACACTTCGCTAGGTACTGCTACCGTCGCCAGCTGCGAGCTCCATGATTCAACCTGTACACGCCCTATGTACCTGCTGACGAGTCTCGACTATTTCAGGGCTCTTCCCAACGGCAACATGCAGCACGTGCTGACTCGCCTTGCTCCGACCACAGCGTTACCCTACCACCCGCACGCCAACAGCGATCCCCATCGCCGCGTCGCCGCTCGGGGACGCCATCACCACTGGAAAACTAACTGGTGTGACCAATGGGGGCGAGGCCGCAAAATCATCTTTCGCAAGACCCCCTTGTGTTGTAATGGTTGAGAATAAAGTGAGTGTTTTTGTAGACAATGTGAGTACTGTTGCACTAGTTGATACCGGTGCTGCCGTTTCTATAATGAGCTTGTCTTTTAAAAATTGCCTTGGGACGAAAGTAATGTTTGCTTGAAATCAGAGTGCTACGTTCCGCGGCGTAGGGGGAGAAACGTTGAGCCCAGTTCGTGTTTGTTCTGTTTTACTTTCTGTAGAAAGTCCAACGTTTAGAGCTGAACTAATGGTGCTTCCACAAGCGACCCACGACGTCATTCTAGGTATAGATTTTTTGCGTGAATGTGGTGCAACTCTAGGTTCTGGTAGTGGTGGGATTATTTTTCGTCCCGTGTTGCCCTCTCTATTGACGAAAGA